AACTGAAATTCCTGTGCGACATCTTCGGCGTCTTTGATGTGCTCGTAGTGATAGCAACCAGCATCGACGTATACGTCTTGAAGCTTGGCACAGATGGTCAAAAGCTTCAATCTCTTGAAAAGTCACTATGTCACTATGTCCTTAAGGGTGTTGATGAACATAGCGGATGGCTTACAGTGCATAATATCTTGAGGAATATTTCTGATTTTTTTTGGCACTGAAATTGGCACTGAGTGAATTTCATAGATTGCGTTAATATGTTGCGTGGCAGAGCAATTTTTGTTCAAACTTTTTAGGCTGAACTGAATCCATACGTGTTGTCTCTTTGCAAACAGGCAAAGCATGTAGTGATATACGGTCATACGGTGCACTGATCGGTGTTGGTAGGCTTTGGCGTCAAGTTTTGGAAATAGAACAGCATCGCAGTCAGACCCTTCCCAAGTTCTGATGCTTACATTGGATACATTTCGATCACATAGGTTTTCTGGTTGGTGGTTTGGAACATGTTTTTTTTCCATATTGGGAATAATCATCCCAACTGACTAATATTTTTCAGAGGGGTTGAAACCACCAACCATATTATGTGTTTTTTTTAAACAAAAAAAAAATATGTTTTACTCTTATCGCAGTGAAAGACCTTTGTTTCCTTTCCCAGGCAACCGTTTGACGCTGGCTATGCCCAGAACTTTGCTGTGGGTCGTCTTACACGAATCTTCCGCCTTATGAGGATCTTCAGGCCGAGCTTTTCACTATGTTCTTTTAAAATTAAAAGTTGATCGACATTGGATGTCAATTAATTGATATTGGAAGGCATTGACTGAATAAGTTTTAACAAAGTGGACCATAATTTTCAACATCGGCTTGATTTTTTAAGCACAGTAAGTTCAACACATATGCTCATCATTTTCCAGCGCTTTTGATGCTGGTCATTTCCCCAAAAATCTCGGCTGATGAAATGTTTGCAGGTTTTGGGTTCTCAGAGTGCCGTACATTTTTTCAAACATGGTTTGGTTTTTCCGCAGGGTACTCCGTGTGATGCGCTTCGCCAAGAATCTGCAACAGTTCCTGGGCATGAATTTGATGTTTGACATTGATATAATAATATATATATATACATAATATATAATTATATATGATATTACATAATATTACTATATATATTTTATATTATTATACAGTATAGATTATCTGTTGTATTTGTTCACGTTTTATTTTAAATTAGATAGTACAGGTGATATTGGTTATAATACATGTTTATTACATGAACAGTATATTATCTATTATATTATTTGTTACTGTTATATATTTTACATTATTATATTATACTTTTCGCATTATGCATTATACATGAAATGTTTTTTGTTTATATTGTATGTTGCATATTTTATATTTTGTTTTTTTTGGCATATATATTATAAGTTCTTATTGGACATAATACTTGATATATTATTTATGTTATATTGTGTATTTTATTTTGTATATAGAGAAAATGTTGCTTAATATAATATATATGGTTCTTATGGATTTGACTTGTTATGGCTATGGTTCTTTATGCATGTCTTCATCAAGAATGTTCCGGACCGTTGGACCGCACGTTTGGAAGACTGCATCTTTGTTCTTCCCCAATATCTATATGTCGCGTTCTTTGTTTTCGTCCAACGCTTCAACGGTTGAGGTTGCGGTTGCTTGGCGATGTCCTTGCAGCTTGACTGCAATCCAGATCAAAGTGACGGTTTCCTCTTTGTGCAAGTACAGCACTGACATCTCTCCGCTGGTTCAAATTCCATTTAAGAATACTTGACAAATCCGAGTGATGAGTGTTCATTCTTGGAAAAATGTGCTTAGTGCAGCGCTTGTTGTTCGAACCTGTTCCTACAAGTCTGTGCTAAGTCCAAATGCCTAAGCCCCTTGATGTGGGCATTGCTCGCCTCCGCCTTAGCTGCAAAGTAGCAAGTGCTTCAAACTGCAGATACACGATATAATTGTGTTGAATGATTCTGATCATTGTTAACAAAGTAAGCATCCGTCTTGCACAGCAACAACCAATGGACCAACTGAGGTTTTGGGCATCATCATGGTGGGAACCGGAGTTTTGATGTCCCAGCTTCTCTTGGAATATGTTCTGGATACCACCCAAGATTTGGAAAAGCGCCAGTGGGTCTACGAGCTTTGGCATATGAGTGATGATGAGTCATGATGAGTCATGATGAGTCATGTCATGATGTCATGTCACATGTACAGATGCCAGCAGCATTCTGTGATATTCTGTGGTTGCAATTTCATTTGACACAGTTGATTCTGAGTTGATTCTGAGTTGATACAATCCTTGGTCATCCCATGTCATCCCCTATCCCAAACATGTTAAACATGATTGAACGATTTGAACGCAAGGAATATTATGGCACTGCTTTGAAAGCGACTTATTCCGTCTTTGAAGCGACCTTCAGTGGCTCCTGGCCGTTGCTGGCCCGGAATTTGATTCGAGATGTTTCTGAGTGGTTCCTGGGCGAATTCAGAGTCCTCAGAGTCCTCAGAGTCCTCAGAGTCCAGAGATTCGATCACAATTCGACAAGTCGGCTTCGCCCTGTGTCCAGAGATTCTTTAGATCTCAGTAGATCTCAGTAGATCTCAGATCTGAGATATTCTGAGATGATCCCAGGTACTGCATTTTCTGGATTGCGTACCAGGTTGTGACTCGGCTGTGACACATGGGCAAGGTCGTAACATGTCGTAACCCCGAGGATGTTTCATGGTGTCTCCTGATGTTTACTATATCTGGCAGAGTTGCCAGCTTTGTTGCACTTTGATGATATGCATTCAGATCATCCAGAAAGCTTACTTCGAACTCAAGGTTATTGGCTTCGCTGTGATGCGGGTCATCGGCGCACTCTTCTTGAATGAGACGCCCCTTGACTGTACCAATTATGATTTCCGAATTCCTTTTTGAGTTGCGTTTGATTTTGTGGCTAAGACATGCTAGTATATGTTTGCTAGATCAGTTGAATTTTGTTGATTTTATTGAATTTTACGTGGTTTCACTCTTTCAAAGTCTCAAATCATATCAATATTACTTATCATTACACCTGCCTTCGGTTAGTATGACTTCCCAGAACCGCTTAGAAAGGGGAAAGAAACGGTACACTGTGTGGATCCCCCAATGACACAGTCTCGGTCCATAGGATTCGAGCAGCCAACTCCGACGGAGAAGCTGAAGCGCCCCGACGACAGATCGAGCAAGTACAAAGTCCACTTTATTTGGAGGATTTCGTAAGATCATGTAAGAATATGTAAGATCTGATGATATTGATATCAGATAATATCAGATATTTTCAGATTGATGCTATTGATGAGGATGATGAGGAATGGTTTTCCATAAGATTGACTTCAGAGATGCATGTGGCGACGTGACGATGTCAAATGACGTAAAATGTGTATTTTGTGTGTCAGATGTTTGGCAAGCCTTGCAAGCTGTCCCATGTGTTTGCTGGGTGTGCTGGTAACGCTGTAACGACGTGTAACGACGTGTAACGACGTGTAACGACGTGTAACGACGTGTAACGACGTGTAACGACGTGTAACGACGTGTAACCACTGCTAACGACTTTGAAGGTCCTTCGGAAGATGAAGGAGAAAGAGGCCTTCAGCCAAAAGGTCTATCAGTTCTTCACTGCTGCTACTTGTCGATGCAATTCACATCAATTCACACAAGTGTCCAGGGCAGTGGCATTGAAAGAGATGGAAAGAGTATGACAGATCAATCAATGTAAGTGAAATACAAAGATTTATTTATAATATACATGACATGATACAGATACAATATGATTCATAATATATTCATACTATGATACACATGAATATCATAATATCATTTATAGGATGTTGCAATATGTTGCAATATGTTGCATCCATTTCATGAATCCGTTTGGTGAACTTTACGATGACTTCCTCTTGAGGCTGATGCTTCCGGGGATGGGCGCCTGTCCTACGAAGAATTGGAAACAGCTCTTCAGGCGTCGTGACGATTTTGACGCAGTGCAACGATGTGCAACGTGTCAACATGGGAAAACAAAGGACAATTATACTAATTTATACAAAATTAGGTAACATGTTTATGCGGATTACATGCTAATTCTGATGATTTTATATCAAACATCTGAAAGAATATGCAAATGTGATATCCTCAAACGGCATGCTTAGAGATATTTTCAATGGGAATTTGAGGATCCTGAAATGAGGTACTGTACCATATAAGGCCATATTTTGTGGGGATATTCCCTTACATAGGCCTCATATAGGCCTTATATAGGCCTTATATATGGCAGGTACCTCCAATCAATCGGTTCCTGAAATGGCCATTGATATTTCATTGTTTGGCCGCAATACAAGTTAATACAAGGCAGATTGCAGTGAATGCACAGAGTGAAATCGTTCGATCTCTGACGTTTTCTCATCCTCCAGGAGCCTGGCGTGGAAGCCTGGTTAAAGGCCTTGGAGTTGGAAATTCATGTCGCTTGGAGATTCCAGAACTTGAAATGTTAAGCACTTCAAGATGAGCATATATATATATTATATACTATATATTACTGTAATCATTACTGTAATCATTACTGTAATCATATATTAATCCATATTACTGAAAATGAAAATGAAATATGATGAAATGATCATGAAATGGGTCACTGTTGTTTTTCGAAATGCATGTATTTGAGGCAAACTGTGCCATGCAGCGCAAACCATACAAGAAATTCGATCAAATTCGTGTAGTTTGGACATGTTTGGACCTAAAAAATTCCGTGGCCAAGGAAGCTTACACTCTCTTCAACTTGCTGGATGATGATCGAGATGGTGAAGTTTCCTATGATGCTGGGCTCAGAAGTTGAAGTTGCTGAAGTTGCTGAGGTTGCTGGGTTTGGGGGGAATTTCATGTAAATGATTTATAAATGATTCAAATGATTTTAGATGGAGAGCTGGACGGAAATTTCGATGAACAGATATGAACAGTTGTGAAGAGTCAGTGAGAGAATGTGAGAGTATGTGAGAGTTCAGGAGTTTTTCACGACCTTTGTTTCGCTGTAAGGAAGAGTTCCTTCATAGCGCTTTGCGGCTCAAGGGTAATGCCAGGGCTATCGACTCCATCATGATCATGCATGAGCAGCAACTTGGCACATTTCACGATGCACAGAGAGCAGAGCAGTGAAACCTTGTGAAATATGCTGATTTTTGCTTTGTGTTGATGCAATTTTGTGTAATCTTGTGCACATGTGTACATGTGTATACATGCTTCTACCTTGTATGGGCCATGTGCTGTTGTAGATTCAGTATGATCCGTATGATTGTTCTATAGCCGTTCTGAAGTGCGTTGCGTTCAGTTTTGTTGCAGGGCAAAGATTGGGGATGAGATCAAGAAGCTGCGCAACATGGTTGTGAACTCATTCGCTGAAGCTTCAAAGATCCGGGAACGGATCCAGACAGCTGCGGAATCCCAGATTGTGGCGAACCCGTTCGCGCACAGCACTGAAAGGACACCGGTGGAGACAGTGGAGACCGTAGTTTCGATGCAGCGAACTGTCAACACGACATTGTACTCGTAAATCATTGCAGTCTTGTGCAGTTTGGAAAGTTTATAGAGTCTCGCGATTTCTGTGTTTTCTGACACTTTAAAGAAGTTGTTACGAAATCCAAATGTTCATCGTTCCAATTTCGCAGGAGAGGCTCTCCCTTCGGAGATTTGCTGCTTTCACCGTCAGCAACGAAGGCAAAGTTGGCTCAGCGAAGGGCCTCGGAAGTGCACATTCGCAAACCCATGGAATTGACCTGAGAAGATTCACTGAGACTGCCGTGCGATGTGAACAATGAGTAATCTGAGTAATCTGTTGAGAGTTGAAACTGTAACAATCTGTAACAGTTGAAAGTCAAGATTCTTTTGAGAAGACTTGACGTTTTCTCATCTTTCTCTCAAGAGGGCAATCCGAACTGCTGCGGGTCCCGGCAAGTTCGAACAGCGTTGGCATGACAGTATCACAACTGTGTCACCGTGTATCCTCAGATATCCTCATGCTAGTCAGCTAGTCGTGATTCTTGAAAGGTGATAAGGTTGCCATAGGTTGCCATTGCCCAATGTTGCCCATGAGATCCCATGAGCAAAAGCTGGGTGTTTGGGTTCCGCAGAGAAAGTTCTGCAAAGCAGACATTTTCCTGGACACTCCTAAGGGTCGATGATCCACAACACTGCACTGCACCTATTTCTTGCATTATGAAATTGGACTTGAGGAATCCTGAGAAATTCTACGAACTTCGTTGCTTCAGCATTTTGATGGTTGTCCCATGTTGTCCCGATGTCCTCTTGGATCTAAAGATATCTGTGCAGTCAGCTGGCCTCGTGCGTTGAAAGTTCGGAAGACTCGCTCATTGGACCGATGGCTGCCCTCATATACGACCGTACGCGCCTCATTCAGCCGCCCTCATATGGCACTTAGCTGTTTCTCCGACAGTCTGTCCATGGGCTCAGCGTAGCAGTCATTGACTGGTCATAGCCAACGGCACAGCGTGGCGCCGCTGAGTTAAGGCAGAACAAATCAGAACATATCAATCTGTTAAGTCGCTACCACGTTTAGATATGTTTTAGCTCGTTGGTCGGATTCTTCAGTCAAGATACTCAAGCGTGCCACTCTGGTTGTGCCTGACCGTTCTGTTTCGTGGCCCTATGATATCAGAAAACACTTTTCCTTATGAAGATATTTTGGTCGATCTTTAGGCAGGACTTGTTGGTTCTGAAGCCACGGCGTGGAAAATTTCCTCGGCTGCTTTGGTATGTATAGCCTTTTAGGCTTTGGCGAAGGCTATCCTTCAGCAGTGCTAACGTGTCTGTCGGTGGATGCTGTGAGAGGTATTCACACTAACATCATTAACATTGAACATGCGTCATTCAATGGATTTCCACCATGTTATTGAATCATATGAATCATGAACTTGAATCCAAAAAGCATCAAAAAGCACTTGAATCATTTTCAACCTCTTTGAACCTCTTGCAGTGGGTGTCACAAGGCAAGGCTCTGCCAAAGATCCTTACCAAGCTGCAGGGGTCACGCAGAGCGTAACCCCGTTTGGTGCCACGGATGACTGATGCGCAGGGCTTTGCCACAAAGGAGCGACATTCCCAGCATCCCAGGCATCCCAGGCATCACAGAGTTCACTCTATGTACTATATATGAATCTATACGTGGGAAGGGTTGGATTTATGAAGATTTAAGACAATTGATGTTTGATATTGTTTGGAGATTGTTTGGATGATTTATGAAAGGTTTGTTTGTTGATTTTCTCGTTCAGTCGTTGATCCCAGCCTGTGTCATCTGTGTCCACTGCCAGGCTCCCGGGTCTGGCATTCAGCAGGCAGTCATCAGCAACGCCTTCCTTGCAGATGGCCCGAAACTTGACGAACGGTCAAGTCATACGATGTAATACGATGTAATACGATGTAATACGATGTAATACGATGTAATACGGTCAAGTTGCAGACGGTGATGTGCCGATTGTATCGAATGTGCCTTGCTAAGTGTTGGAAATTGTGATGTCTCCATGATGTCTTCTTGTTTAAAGAAAAGTAGAGAACATCAGCAAATTTCAAAGCAAGTTTGGAGAAGTTTGCGAGACGAGATGAGACGAGTTTTCGTTTCAGCAAAGTTTGAGGCAAGATCAGCTGTGGCGAGGCTGCCTCCGATTTTGAATTCAGCGTACTAAGCAAATCAAATTCACAAATTCATCAAATGTGATTTCAGATTAAGAAATTATTTAAGATTTTTTAAGAAATCAAGATGCAAATTTGATCGTTGATTACAATACTCCGATACTCGTTGTGTAGATCCAGTCTTGTCGCAATGTTTGTCTTATCACTATATAGATTGGCTTGATTCAAAACATAGTTCATATAGATATCACTAGGAAGACAACGTGGATGCCTCTGCACAACTTCAGTTCTTGCACCTGCTTGCACCTTGCACCATGCATTTGTCGAAGGAATTGGTACATCTTGGCACATCTTGTCCCGGTACAAATCGGGACAATTTCTCGGGATTGTACCGATTTCACGTTACAGGTGACCATTGCAACCATTGATCAGGAGCTGCCAGTCTGTTCCTCAGCGACTGGGGGCAGAAATCTTGACCATTTATTGTCATCGACAAATTATCAATCACATGAATCACAGATTATCACAGGACAATAGATGTATGAAAAGTGAACAAAGTGATATATATATATATATATATCAGGTGAGATAGATCAGGAGATGGGGCACCATATCCTATAAAACTGTAGCAGTCCATGGCAGTCCCTCACAGTCCCTCGCAGTAGCTGCAATTCCGCTCAGGTGCCCCCAGGATGCTGTGGTATTTTGGGCCTGGACTTTCTCACTTTGTTCGATTGGGATTTCGACATCAAAGGTGAGAAGGCGCCATCGCCAGCTTTCCATGGCATTCTACATCTATCTACATCTTCAGCCTTCAGCCAGCGTGTTGTTCTCACGCTACAATGCCGAATTCACCATGCTGCAGGCTCATATTGCCACTGCTCCAAAGGAGCGCAAGGACTGCACTTCTGTGCTGATGGCTGATTTTGCTTGCCGATGTTTCTTGATTTTGTTAGCACATTCTCTCCAAAAGGCATTATGTTTGCTGCAATTACTGGAGACAGATGAAACAGGCACCCTTGCCGTTTAATGTCTCCGGCATGATTCCAGTCCCACTACTGAAGGCTGGGTCCATGTTTCGATCATGTCGAAAGCCATACCTACTGTAGATCTGCAATGTCGCAACAATATTTGGTTTTTGCAACTGTTACGGTGTGTATAACTTTAAAGAAATTTTTAATGCAGTTTGCCTATTTGTTTCTTCATATTGGTTGGATTGGTGCACACAAGAGCCTTTGGCCTCTGGCGAAGCCGTGTGCATAGGCCTTCCATAGGCTCCGAGTTGGCTCGGCTTCACCCGCCATGCGCCAGATCCGGACACCCAGCCAGAACGAGCTCTATGCGTGCCAAGTGAAGCTGTCCGTGCCAGGACAAAACTTGGAGGACACCGAGTCACCACTGCCCTGCAACAGTAATATCCTGTAACATCATGTAACAATGTAACTGGTCTAGATTGGTTTGGCAACAATTTAAAAAAGCATTTGAGCACATGAAGCATATTGAAGAATGTCTGCATAGCGTGCATGTCTGTCCAAACCACTTTGTTGTGGGCATGTGCATGCACGTTGTTGTGGCTAATGCGCTAATTGCATCCAAGGCCGTGCCCAAAACCGGGCCACTTGGTTTCCAAAGTCGGGCCAGGACCCTGCCGTCAAGTTTGTCCAGGCGTTTCCGGATTTGGCATCGACAGCACCTGAGAAGCGTCAAGGTTGAAAAATGTTGAAAGCATGTAAGGATCATTATGGATCATTATACTTCACAATTCTTCATCTTCATCTTGCTGCCGAGGTCGAACACGCTGTGTAACAAGATCGCCGCCAAAGGCATGCGGAAGATCACAAAGGTGCGGCTGTGCTGGAGATCATGATGGCACAGAAGCACTCCTGCATCATGCCACATTTTCCCACATCTTCCCAGCACATTCATCAATAGCATCAGAGTAAGCAGATCATGGCAGGACAGGTTTCCCTTTGGCAGCTGAGTTGGATCAAGAGACAATCAGATGTCAACTAACAGATACTGACAGATAGTAACAGATACTAACAGATAAAACCCAGAGATAGGGCCAGACAATTCCAGATATCTAGACAAGGACTGCGTTTCGATGCCACTTTTGTTTTTTGCTGGGACAGCCAAGCAAAAGAGTGCACAAGTGGGCCGAAGTGGACAAGCAAATGTAAGGGATGTTAAGCGATGCTGATTTCAAGATGACTCAGAATGACTCAGATCCACAAGGAAAGTGGTTCAAGTGGAAGAAATCGGAAGAAACTGCCAAACTGTTCCAAGGTTTGCACGTTGCAGTGACCGATCGAAGAGTGACTTTGGCAGTTTCCCCTTTTGAAGTTTCTAATGCTGCGCCATGGCGATGTCCATCATCCGGGTGATGATGTTTGTTATCTTGGCGGCATGCGCAGGTAGCTCAGTTCTGGAGGATGCGTTCAAGAAATGCGGTCGTGGAAGCTTATTTGCTATTCATTTGATTTATTTGCTTATTCCTGAACAATTTCCATGTTATTCCTCTTATGTTCATCGCAGCCGAGGTGCTAACGATCCTGGTGTCATTCAGTCACACCTCACAGATTGCAAATCTGGTTCCCAGTCATGTTCACGGAGGTATCTTGGCAATCATTGTCCCCCATCCACCATCTTTTCAACGCGTTTCAACGCGTTTCAACGTGTTTCAACGTGGGCTTTGGACGACGGTCACGCACAAGATCAGGCCACACCCCTTTGGACAGCGGAGTGATGACGCGACTCTTAGAATTTCCAAATTCGATGAAGTCTGTGGAGAGGACACTTGGACACTTGGGATGCTTTGGGCACATTGTTGTGGGAAATGTTCAGAGGTGTGTTTCATAAAGATCAATTGAATAATATATACCAGCACCGCCAAAGGGGCCCCACTGTGTTTTTGGAAGTTGATCTCTTTAAGGGGTCCCACTACGGGAACCCTTATTCCCAAGGTCATACCAACTGTTAAAAACATATGTGCTGGATATAGTAAGATATATTTGTAGATATTCTTTGGTAATCTTATCAAATAACCCCATTCCATCAATCACCAGTTCACACCTGGCTGCGCTGCGGCGGCATCGGCTGGACCAGCTCAACATTTTGGAAAGAGGCTCAGAAGGTGCCAACGGGAGTCGTTGGAAATGCAGTCGCCGAAAACTCACAGTACACAAAATGACAGCATAAAAAAATACATAGTGACATCTTTTGACATTTAGAGTATATACTCTAGCTTATTCTGTGAGTCTTCGAAGCCATCGCACGCATGTATATGCAGCGTAGCGTGACAGAACTTGTCGTCCCATCTGGTTGGGATATGAAATCATCGCTAATTTCTTCAGTTTTCCCATCGCGTCCTCATCTGTATAGCAGCTTAGTTTCAGTGGAGAAACTTCTGGAGCACAGTCGTAGACGATATGGTCTAACCTCACATGGTGCTGTTTCCTTTCTGTTTTGCTCGATATCTTCAAGTGCTTGTTTTCTTTTCTTTTCAAACTTTTTGAAAGCCTCTGTCGGAACAGTTTGAGCTTTGAGTGCCCTCATCTTCTCAGCGCTCACCTGCCCAGGTAAAGTAGCCGACATAGCCCCCCAGCCAAGTATTACATCAGTGTTCGTTGTGATATAAATAGTGGAGCATGTGCATATGCTCACATGAAAATGAAACATCAGGGATAGTCAGCCATATATATATAATATATAAACAAATACTACTTACAGAGTTTTCCCTACTCAATAGGGTTAGCCAGCCTCAAACTCTTTTCCATCCGGCATGGCTGGAACTAGATCGACTAGGTTGTTCCCGAAAAAACCCGCTGGAGCCACAGAATAGATCGATCGTTTTTTTTGACCAAACCACCAAAAATGAGATTTCACGACACGAAATGACACGCCCCCTGAACTTGGTGGGCACCCCCGACACTTTTTAAGGGGTCCCACTACGGCACCCCTTAGCCTAAGGGGTCCCACTGTGGGACCCCCAAGGAACCACCCGAGACACGCCACTGACACGTTTGACACGCGCCTTTTTTGGGATTTGGATAGATTTGGAATTTTCTCAGATTTCTAGCCCAAAACATTTACCAGATTACGTTTGGGATTTTACCGTAACTTGCCCAACGAGCTTGCAGGCTCATGGTTTGAAATGGAGATGAACCCTTTTTGCTCGGTAAAAAAATCATTTTCCAAAAGATTATGCCCAGCTGTTGTCATTCCCCAAAATGCATTGTCCCATACCATAACCTTATTGTTGGCAGACTTTCCAAAACCTTATTGTTGGCAGGGGATGATGTTGGAACATGTGCTCACCAGGAAATAAAAGTAAACAATTTCGTATCAACTCAGTTGAAGACGAAGCCCTTTCTTGTTGACAACAATGTGTAAGGCTTGTCTCATAGAGTTCTCACGTAGAACTTTCTTGAGGGAGCTGTCATGGAATGCCGCTCGCAGCCACTGATTGGCACTAACGCGGATGTCTCCGCCAGGCCAAAACTCACCAGATCGTCGGATCCATTCAATACATTTATCATCGATACGGGCCATCAACGCTTTTGCCATGATCCTTATTCACAGTCATGGTTTTTAAAAATGAATGTTGATGTTTTTTCCCGATGAAACCCTCCAAATATGTTGTTGGACAAGGCTCTCCGCCTCATCATTGAAATCCTTGCTGCCACTCTTGCGCTTCGGCATGGCAGATGTCCAACGACGGAATTTCCTTCTAATGATACTTAACATTGTGTTGGGGTACCTTGCACCTCTAGTAACTCTATTACCTATCTGTTTTAACTTGGGCCATTCAGTGCCAACCATTCCATAGCTTTGAAGGTGTTGTACCTGATGCCCATGCCTTTGGTCGATCATTCCTACATGAGCCGGTGGCCAGGCTGCAGTGTGGCCATTGCGGGTGAACCTGGGCCCTCAGCGATCAAAAATTGAGATGCATGGTCAAGAACCATCCAAACTACCTCTAAACCACCTAAAAAAATAAGGGGTCCCACTGTGTTTTTTGGCTAAGGGGTCCCACTACGGCACCCGTTTGGTACCCCTGGTATATATATATATATTATATAATAACAATAATAATAATATCAATAATTAATAATAATGATAATAAGTATCTATAAGTGGTATATATCTGGTATATGAACTTGTGCCTAGTAGCAAGAACAGCTGCACGTGAGGTCCTGTGCATCTTGGCCTAATAAGCATGCTGTGAAGTCTATTGAAATTCCTTCGCAGGAGTCTCCTGGCCTTGGAGAAAAACATTCATGATCTGGATGCCGAGATGAAGGGCAAGGCCTGGATATGGCTCAATACGGCTCATGAAAAGATGGCAATATGGTGAGATGCCAGTTCATACTATCATGGTCATAATTAGTCATAATTAGTCATAATATATAGTGTATATATATATATATAGTCATATACTTACGTAGTGATCGTATGAGTATTGCAAGATTTGACTCATACTGATGTCTCGCATGCGTTGACAAAACGAGCATGTCGGAAGAGTCCGCTCCCGTCCAGATCCATCAAGTGCCTCAAAAAGGAAAACTTGACAAGGTCCATGTTGAACATGTCTCCATTGCGAACAACCAAAAAAGACTGGTAGACTACCGTATGTAGATTAGATAGACTATGCATGTTTGGATAGATTAGAAAGATTCGTAGCAGTTGTGAACTGCAGAAGGAGCCAGCTGCAGCACCTGCTCCATCGGGTGCAGCTGAAAGCCCCAGCAGGAGCCCTGATACCGGCATCTTGGCTACGCGTTGGCTACGCATTGCTTCGAAGTATTTTGAAGTATTTTGAAGCGGATCTGAGATGACAGTGATGATTGTCAGATGATGCGTAGCTGATGCTGATTTTCTGTGAAGTTCCTTTAATGCCTGATTTAATGGCTTTCGCTTGGGAATGAGCAGACACCTCTTTTTGAAAATATCGAAATGGAAACGTCAGAGTCAGATGTGCCTTTCACTGCACGTGAGGCACTGCAAAACGTTGGCGGAGCGACCGTCGTTGTGGAAAGAATGCAGCCTCTCAGCTGGAGTTCGGGGTGAAAGCTTTGATGTAGCTGTAGCTATAGAGACTACAGAGTTTCAGAAGAGTCATTACTATAATCACGAAAGCCAGCCGCTAGGCTAGGCGAAGTTATTTTTGCGAACAAAGTGAGTTAAGGGGGTCTGGGGGCAGAGCGCCCCAAAACGGACAAAAATGAGGAAATTAGGTGGTAAAAAAGGTGGCCACAGGTAAACTTTTTTAGGGTTATGTACCAGGTGGCAATTGGGTGACGTTGGGGTATCGATTCCCCCCTGGTCCGCCCTCCGAGGTGGATCTGGGCAGATTGCAATGGAGGGGAAAATGATGAGAAAAACAACAGAAAAAATGAGGGAATATGACATAAAACAATGGGAAAAAAATGGGAAAGGAGGGGAAAATGATGAGAAAAACAATGGAAAAAAGGAGGAACTTTGACATAAAACAATGGAAAAAAATGGGAAAGTAATGGAAAATTTGAGTAGAACGCTTGGAAAATTGATTAAAACGCGAGGCGAAACGGTGGAAAGAATAGGGAGAGGGTAAAATGATGCCAAGTAAAATTGAGGCTCCGATGTGGGACCATTATCGCATAAAGCACACGTGAAACAATGGAAAAGCAATGGAACAATTGCAGTTTCGATGTGTGACCACTATGGAGTAGAAGCACAGAAAAAAAACCATGGAAGAAACGAGCAAAACCGTTTATACGGTGCAACTGTAGGGATTGTGGAAGGTGCATTTGGGTAAGCGTTAGACACACTGAGATAATAGAAGGGTAATGATGGAGAAATCGAGTAACACCATGGCAAAACACTGGAAAAATTGATGAAATGGAAGGATAAATTGATAGCGTAAAATATGGGACGATTGAGTAAAACTGGAGGAAAAACTGTGAAAAAAACACTGGGGAGACTGGAATGGAGGGGAAAATGATGTCGAGTAAAACTATGGAAAAGCAATGGAAAAAATGAAAAAAATGTGGCTTCGATGTGAGACCATTAGCGATGGAAAAGCAATGGAAAAATTGAGGGACTATGATGAAGAAGTGGAGAAAAACAATGGAAAAAACATTGGAAAAATTGCGGCTCTGATGTGGGACCAAAATGATGCCAAGTAAAATAAGAGTAAAATGACGGAAATTGATGGGATGGAAACACAATGGAAAAATTGAGGCTCCGATGTGGGACCATTATATGTGCAAGAAAAGTTTCTAGGTGAAGAGTCTCTGGGTGAAAAGTATATTGGTGAAAAGTATGTGCAAGAAGAGTTTCTGGGTGAAGAGTCTCTGGGTGAAAAGTATATGGGTGAAAAATATGTGCAAGAAGAGTTTCTGGGTGAAGAGCCTCTGGGTGAAAAGTATATGGGTGAAAAGTATGTGCAAGAAGAGTTTCTGGGTGAAGAGTCTCTGGGTGAAAAGTCTGTGCAAGGAGAGTTTCTGGGTGAAGAATCTCTGGGTGAAAGTATATGGGTGAAAAATATGTGCAAGAAAAGTTTCTAGGTGAAGAGTCTCTGGGTGAAAGTATATTGGTGAAAAGTATGTGCAAGAAGAGTTTCTGGGTGCAGAGTCTCTGGGTGAAAAGTATATGGGTGAAAAGTATGTGCAAGAAGAGTTTCTGGGTGAAGAGTCTCTGGGTGAAAAGTAGATGGGTGAAAAGTATGTGCAAGAAGAGTTTCTGGGTGAAGAGTCCATGTGCCAGGAGAGTTTCTGGGTTGAAAGGAATCCTGGGTGAAAACGTGTTGGGTTGTGGAAAAGGATGTGCAGAAGAGTTTCTGGGTGAAGGAGTTATCTGGGTGAAAAGTATATGGGTGAAAAGTATGTGCAAGAAGAGTTTCTAGGTGAAGAGTCTCTGGGTGAAAAGTATATTGGTGAAAAGTATGTGCAAGAAGAGTTTCTGGGTGAAGAGCCTCTGGGTGAAAAGTATATGGGTGAAAAGTATGTGCAAGAAGAGTCTCTGGGTGAAAAGTATATGGGTGAAAAGTATGTGCAAGAAGAGTTTCTGGGTGAAGAGTCTCTGGGTGAAAAGTATGTGCAAGAAGAGTTTCTGGGTGAAGAATCTCTGGGTGAAAAGTATATGGGTGAAATGTATGTGCAAGAAGAGTTTCTAGGTGAAGAGTCTCTGGGTGAAAAGATCCCCTTTGGAATAACCCTCTCTAAAATGGGGGACCCCGGGGTCCCACTAAACCATTTTTTTAAGACAAAATTTAGCGATGTTTTTTTCCAGGGGGGTGGGACTTTCATTTTATAGTGATCCCAGGGGGGCAGGAGGATTTTGATTTTACAATATTAAATTTCATTTTATAGCGATTCTCTTTTTGGCATGACACTCATGCATGGGGGTTGGGTGTTCCCATTCTATAGAGTCAGGAGGTTTCAGGAAATCATTCCTTTTGGGGGTTGGTAGCCTCCATTTTATAGTGGTCATGGGTTGTAGTTGCATTGCTCAGTCTTCGCGTGCCGTTTCCTGCTATAGCATGGATGGCAATGGGAACCTGGGGGAGTGTTCCCAAACCAGAGAAACGACGTAAGAATGGAAGAGAATGGAATAGAGTGGACAAACAAAGCCAGCTTTCTCCATCGAACCCCAAAATACCCAGCTGGCCCAAAATACCCAGCTTTGTCGATACCCCTAAATGCCCAGCTTGGAGAAATCCTTTGGCTTTGGGACATGGGATAGCATGGGACCACTATCAAATGGAAAACTTTCTCCATCCTACCCTAAAATACCCAGCTGCCCCAAAAATACCCAGCTCTGTCGACACAACAAAATACCCAGCTTGGAGTCTTTTTGTCGACATCCCTTGGCTTTTGGGACATGGGACAGCATGGGACCACTATAAAATGATTTTTTTCCATCCCACCCTAAAATACCCAACTGCCCCAAAAATACCCAGCTCTGTCGACACAACAAAATACCCAGCTTGGAGTCTTTTTGTCGACATCCCTTGGCTTTTGGGACATAGGACAGCATGGGACCACTATAAAATGGAAAACTATCTCCATCCCACCCAAAAAAATACCCAGCTGCCCCAAAATACCCAGCTCCGTCGATACCAGTCTTTTTGTCGACATCCCTTGGCTTTTGGGACATGGGACAGCATGGGACCAATGGAAAACTACCAGAAAATAAGTCTTGGTCTTTGTGTCAGCATCCCCTGGCTTTGGGACGTCCCGGGCTAAAGAAAAATGTGGTGTCTTTGGGGCGATGATGGTGGGAGGATGTGGGGAGGCTGCGGCACTATAAAATGGAAACCCCCAACCCCCAGAAAATCCTACCAGGAAGGGCATGTAATCTCTATAAAATCAGAGCACCCAACCCCTCAAGAAACCATTCATTTTTGGATGTTGTAAGATACAGGGGGTTGGGGGTTCCTATTCTATAGTAGAAAGTTGGCTAGTTCCTTCATTTTAAGGCTAGGCTCCAGGGTACGTTGGGGCCTCCCATTTTATAGTGATGGAGGGTTTTGCAGTAAATTTGTAGCTGTAAATATTTGTTTTTTCAAATAATTTTCTTATTTTATAGAGGTGCACCTGTTTTGTGACCTTGGGTGTTTCCATTTTATAGAGGTCCCACTCCGGGGGGGATGGGTGCCCCCGTTTTAGTACTATAAAATGGGGGCACCCAACCCCCCCACTTAATCTAGTAGGGGATGTGAAAAGTATATGGGTGAAAAGTATGTGCAAGAAGAGTTTCTGGGTGAAGAGTCTCTGGGTGAAAAGTATATGGGTGAAAAGTATGTGCAAGAAGAGTTTCTGGGTGAAGAGTCCCTGGGTGAAAAGTATATGGGTGAAAAGTATGTGCAAGAAGAGTTTCTGGGTGAAGAGTCTCTGGGTGAAAAGTATATGGGTGAAAAGTATGTGCAAGAAGAGTCTCTGGGTGAAAAGTATATGGGTAAAAAGATGTAAAAAGTATATGGGTGAAAAGTAAAATTGAGGCTCCGATGTGGGACCATTATATGTGCAAGAAGAGTTTCTGGGTGAAGAGTCTCTAGGTGAAAAGTATATGGGAGAAAAGTTTGAGCAAGAAGAGTTTCTGGGTGAAGAGTCTCTGGGTGAAAAGTCTGTGCAAGAAGAGTTTCTGGGTGAAGAATCTCTGGGTGAAAAGTATATGGGTGAAATGTATGTGCAAGAAGAGTTCTAGGTGAAGAGTCTCTGGGTGAAAAGTATATGGGTGAAAAGTATGTGCAAGAAGAGTCTCTGGGTGAAAAGTATGTGCAAGAAGAGTTTCTGGGTGAAGAGTCTGGGGGAAAAGCATATGGGTGAACAGTATGTGCAAGAAGAGTTTCTGGGTGAAGAGTCTCTGGGTGAAAAGTATATGGGTGAAAAGTATGTGCAAGAAGAGTTTCTGGGTGAAGAGTTCTGGGTAAAAAGTATATGGGCGAAAAGTATGTGCAAGAAGAGTCTCTGGGTGAAAAGTCTGTGCAAGGAGAGTTTCTGGGTGAAGAATCTCTGGGTGAAAAGTATATGGGTGAAAAGTATGTGCAAGAAGAGTTTCTGGGTGAAGAGTCTCGGGGTGAAAAGTATTTGGGTGAAAAGTATTTGCAAGAAGAGTTTCTGGGTGAAGAGTCTCTGGGTGAAAAGTATGTGCGAGAGGAGTTTCTGGGTGAAGAGTCTCTGGGTGAAAAGTATATGGGTGAAAAGTATGTGCAAGAAGAGTTTCTGGGTGAAGAGTTTCTGGGTGAAGGGTATATGGGTGAAATGTATGTGCAAGAAGAGTTTCTTGGTGAAGAGTCTCTGGGTGAAGAGTATATGGGTGAAAAGTATGTGCAAGAAGAGTTTCTGGGTGAAGAGTCTCTGGGTGAAAAAATATGTGCAAGAAAAGTTTCTAGGTGAAGAGTCTCTGGGTGAAAAGTATATTGGTGAAAAGTATGTGCAAGAAGAGTTTCTGGGTGAAGAGTCTCTGGGTAAAAAGTATATGGGTGAAACGTATGTGCAAGAAGAGTCTCTGGGTGAAAAGTATATGGGTGAAAAGTATGTGCAAGAAGAGTTTCTGGGTGAAGAGTCTCTGGGTGAAAAGTATGTGGGTGAAAAGTATGTGCGAGAAGAGTTTCTGGGTGAAGAGTCTCTGGGTGAAAAGTATATGGGTGAAAAGTATGCGCAAGAAGGTTTTCTGGGTGAAGAGTCTCTGGGTGAAGAGTCTCTGGGTGAAAAGTATATGGGTGACATGTATGTGCAAGAAGAGTTTCTGGGTGAAGAGTCTCTGGGTGAAAAGTATCTGGGTGAAAAGTATGTGCAAGAAGAGTTTCTGGGTGAAGTCTCTTGGTAAAACGTATATATGGGTGAAAAGTATGTGCAAGAAGAGTTTCTGGGTGAAGAGTCTCTGGGTGAAAAGTCTGTGCAAGAAGAGTTTCTGGGTGAAGAATCTCTGGGTGAAAAGTATATGGGCGAAAAGTATGTGCAAGAAAAAAAATTGGGTGAAGATTCTCTTTGTGAAAAGTATATGGGTGAAAAGTCTGTGCAAGAAGAGTTTCTGGGTGAAAAATCTCTGGGTGAAATGTATTGAAGAGTCTCTGGGTGAAAAGTATGGTGGAAAATAGGGGTAGATGGGATGCTGGCTTTCGTTCCCCCCTTCTCAGGTCTTTATAAGTCGTGCAGTTTAAAAACATGTTAAACATATTGAACCATTTAAGACATGAGCTCGTTTTGGTTGGTGTTGCCGCCCCGGCCATTTCTTCAGGATCCTTTGCCTGATGGGAAGCCAGCAGAATGTGATCCCACAGGACAGTCTTGAGGTCTCAAAGCATGGAGTATCAAGGCATTTTATAAACAGTTTAGGAATGCTTTATAAACAGTTTAGTTTCTCAGGGTATGCTCAGGTTACGTCAGGCTGTTGGTGCTGTTTGGTGCCGTTTCATACTGTTTCATGTTCCAGTATCAGAAACTTTCAGCAGATTTGAGGAGATTATGCCTGCTGCTCTGCATTGGGCTGGTGTGGCAACTCCAAGCAGCATTGCAGCTGCAAAGGCGTTGGAACTGATGCCAGTTATATGTTCAATGCAGACGACATGATCCGACATGATCCGACATGGTAAAATCTCAAAAGAAAATAAGTTGTGAATTTTTCTGACACTGTAGACGTAGGCTGTATCAGCTACAAGGAACAACCTCAGGCCGCAACTTGGTGAAATTCGGAGGTGTTGGCTCTGTGTTCGCTGTGGCCGTTTCTACCGTTTCCCTGCTAGCGAACGCCAGTGAAGCGGGGTGTCTTGCACTGAGGTGAGCTTGCCTCCGATGCCTCCCAAAGATGGACATCAGGGCAAGACCGTTGTAGTTTCTTGTATGGATCTTATGCATGCAATTACAACTGCTATAAATACCAGTTATCCGGTTATCCGTATGTTTTTTTTGACTTTGTTTGGTGATTACATGGCACAGTCACATTTCATGGTATCACTATGTATCACTGTTCGCTATTTGTCACATCTTTGGTCGCCACACCGAGGTGATCATTCCTTTCAGGGATCGTGAGTCGCACTTGATACTCTTCAAGCTGCCAGACAGAAGCAGTTTCATTGGCAGTTCAAGCTGTTGGTAATGACAGTTGACATCAGTTGACCAGGATAGATTGATGATAGATTGATGATAGGTTGTGAATGCTTTCAAAGGAAACACTATTTTTTTTGTCGGGAGATTTGTACACAGCTCAGCTTCTCTCCAAGAATCTTGTCAGAGTGGCATCATATGGATGGTCCATGTCCATGCCCTGAGGCAGTACTGGAGATGGTTTGCAGAACACGGACGCAGTCCCAAAACGGTGAAAAATTGGGTCGTGTACGTGGCAGAGCAGTTTGACTCCGAGACCTTCAATCGTGGCTGGAATTTCAACGGAGCGTTGGCTGTTGCTTCTGCACTTACGACAGCATCTCCCGATATCAAAGCTGACATGGGCATAGACTTTGACTGTGCAGTCATTCAGGAGCGATACATGATACAGCAGACAGAATATGACAATATCAGGAAGGATTCGGTTCAGTTCAGTTCTTACTTGGTAGGAACCGGTTCGGTTCGGTTCGGAGTGTTTGAAAATGGGGTTGAACTCTTGTGGCAGTAGGAATAAGGTTCGGATGTTTTGGGCGTTTTTTTCTTATTTGGAGTAATTAGCAATAGCAGTAGTAGCAGTAGCAGTGGAAGGGAATTTCACCTTCCTCTGAAGCACTTTGGAGTTTTTGCTCGCCTTTTTGTGGGTTGAATCAGAGCAGGGGAGTTCAACTACCTTTTTTGAACCTTTGGAGGCTTTCCTTGCATTTTGGGGGTTGAACTTGGGACCAGCAAAGAGACAGTTTAATTGTTGGTTCGCAAAGTTTGATGTCTTTCCTTGCTTGTTAGTGACGAACTGTGCTTTCCAAATCTCAGCAGCAATACTCCTGTTCTATGTTGATGGTAGCGGACGAGTGGTAGTTGGCACGACTGAATTTGCAATGTAGTGGTCGATCCATTCTTAATATTTCTTTTCACAACTTTCACAAGTTTTGGTGGGTCGTCCACCATTTTGAATCCAGTTGCAATGAGAAGCTGTAGTAAAGACCTGCACCGGATTGCACTGGTGCCTGATGTTTCCTACCTTGTGTTTTTATGTGGTTTTTGCGATCTGTGATTGCAGGCTCAAATCATAAACCAGTGAATAGGAACATATAGGAACATAAGATAACATAAGCCTATATTCGCTATATTATGGACTTCCGACTGAGTCCATTCCAATCTGCGCAGCGGCTGCAGGATATCGACTATTTGCCGGAAAAGGGCGTTGACTATTCTGACTGCGACGTGCCTATGCAGCTGAGCGCAGAGATAGCACCTGGGATTGAAACATCTCAAGGCCCACTCATCTTGAACCTCAAAACATCTTGAAGATCTTGAACCTGAAGCATCCTTTGCTTAGACGGCACTGGACGTGAGAGTCTGTGACAGTATTTGATCATTTGGTTTGCATCATTTGTCGTCAAAATCTCAATGCTATCGTTTGATGCTGAGAAGCAGAGATAAGGATCGATACAACTGGAAGACCCCCTACATGACAAGTGCTGGTGGAATTGTGAGCATGAGCCGCTCCTCCGAGTTTGGATTTGACAGAAAAACAGAGACGGCCGAGACATGCCGAGACAGCCACAGCATTGCTTGAGATTGGCGACACATCCTGACACATCCTGACACATCCTGACACTTTGTGGCACTAGAGGTCTTAAGCACTGGAGAAAGATCAACGGTTTCGGCAACAACTACTTCGGTTGGGGTGGAGAGGCCTTGGTGGTGAAATTTGACAAAGGTTCTTGTGGAAAGATGTGAAAGAAATCCATGTGCAGCAGAGTTTCACACTGTTTTGCAGAGTTTCAAAACACCAATTTCACCAAGGTGAAAAAACACACACATTAAAAGAAACAAAAACACCAATGTGGCCGGTGACTCGGTGGTGCGCAGGATGATGAGTTGCATCACAGGCTGCGCCTCAATGGCTTGCTCTACGGAGATTGTTTCATGGCCAGGTGAGATGTGCATAGAATTCACAGAATCAGATGTTTGTACCATCTCACACGTCACATGCAATGCAATATCTTACAACGTGCATGTCATAGTTATTCAATGTTATTCATAGACTGTGTAGATCAACAATCTTAAACATTCTTAAACCCGTTTTGATGTTACCAGGAAGTCATTGTGATATGTGATATATTGTGATTGTGCAGAGCTTTGAGATGCTTTGAGGCTATCCGTACTGCGGCAAGAATGATCACAACATGGGAAAGCCGGGCCAGTCCATCAAGCGTCCCAAGAAGGGTTTCGGTCGCTTCAGCGGCAAATATATGCACAGTGCCAACCACACCAAGCGGATCACAGATAGCCGGGCCTACGCCAGAAACTTGGAGCAGCTCAAGGAAATCGGTGCAGGTGGAGGCCGTTGGAAGACGGACGGATTGAACAGTTTGGCATTTAGCATCGTCGACTCTCAAGAGGATCGAGCAGACCAAGACACGCAACATGTTTGAATATGCTTGATTCGAATAGCTCTTTCTATTTTGTGTTCCACTCTTTGACTTTGCTGAAGAGTTGAAGTCCAACAGATTAGTTGCTTAGTTCATCTTAATTCATCTTACTTCACTTTCCATGATTCGCATGATTTCGCAACTTTTCGGGTACTTGTACATCTTGTACTAGGTATGGCATCACGTACCACCACCTCAAGATCCGCCGAGGGAAGAAGCCTTTCCATGTTAGACGCTTGCTGAAGGTACTTGCATATATGATTTGCATATGACTTATCCATTTTTTTGCCGCAAATGTGTACAAAGGAAAGTGGAAAGTGACAGAACTCCGTCATATCTCTTTGGAGTTCCGGACAGCATTTGCCTTGTATCATCCATTCAAATCCCGTTGTTCCATCACGGTGTCAAACTATGTCAAACTATGTCAAACTCGTGACCTCGTGTCAAATGCTTGCAAGCTCTCTGCTCAGAAGACGTTCCAATTGCAATTCCTCCGGGATTCTGCCAAAGCAGCGCGGTTGTGCCAGATGGTTCCTTGTATGAATCTAATAAATTCTAATCATTATTTAATATGTTCAGGACAAATTGAGGCAAATTCCATTGCTTGATGCGCCGAAGAAAGTGTCAGAGCTCTTTTCAAGCCCTGGAGCAAATTCCGATATGAAACTTTGGGAGTCAGGTTTGTTTGGGTGTTTTAGACTGTTTTAGACTGTGTTAGTCTGTGTTAGCTGTTTTTATTTGCCCACATCCTGCATGTTGGTCTTTGAGGTTGGGTACTTCAAAAGCTTGGCGATGGCCCGATCCCATGGGACCTTGAGGCATGGCCATGTGCACAGATAGTGACAGATAGTGACAGATAGTGACGCAATTCTCATCGGAAGCGATCGGAAGCCGAACCCCTAGCGGCGCGGATGAGGATTTGGAAAGTTTGGCCATTGCTCAACTTGATCTAATTCCAACATGCGATGTATTGCAACATTTTTTTCAAGATCACGAAACTGAATTTGAAAAGATTGGATTCCAGGATTGACATGGAAAGAATCAGAAAAAACAGATCGTTCGAGTCACTGGAGGCTTTGAGAAGACGCACCGCTTCCTTCGCGGCAGACGGAGAATGCACTGGCGCGAAAAATGCCAATTTCTTGCTGGTCGACAGGCGGGGCATGGTAGGGGCATGGCATGGCGGGGCGAAAGAATGTGTATTCATCCAAGACTGAGAGGAAATGGCCTGATATGGCCTGATGATTTTGAAACCTTTATTGTTCATATTTACCAGTAGTACCGCACAAGGCGGTGGCGGAAGTTTCAAAAATAGGAAACCTATAGGAGAGGTTGGTGGTTGTGAATCAGGGATGGCAGAGCGAAGCCACTGATGGACCGAAAGGTGCTTGAGGTCTCCTCTCTTTCTCTCTCTTTCTTTCTCTTTCTCTGACTATGTATCTATCTATCTATCTATCTATCTATCTGTCTTTCTATCTATCTATCTACATATCTACCTATCTACCTATCTACCTATCTACCTATCTACCTATATCTATCTATCTACCTACCCATCTATCTATCTATCTCATCTACCCAGCTGGCCTCTCTCTCTCTCTCTCTCTTTCATCTAATTACCTATCTATCTATCTATCTACCTACCTACCTATCTATCTCCCTTTCATCTGTCTATCTGTCTAGCTGTCTACCTGTCTATCTGTGTTGCGGTGTCATTCAGTGTAATGCAGTGTGGTGTAGTGTAATTTAGTGTAGTGGAGTGTACTGGAGTGTAGTGTAGTGTAATGTAGTGTACTGGAGTGTAGTGTAGTGTAATGTCCTGTAATGTAGTGTAGTGAAGCGAAGCGACATCTGAACCTCCAAAAGTGGTCCGAACCCCTAGTGTTTTGAACAGGTTTGCTTCGAAATGTCTTTCGCGCCACAACGGCATGCACTTTTTCGACATCCGAACCTCCAAAAGTGGTCCGAACCCCTGGTGTTTGTAACATTTTGACTTCGAAATGTGCTTCGCGCCACGACGGCGTGCACTTTTTTGACATCTCAACTTCCAAAAGTGGTCCGAACATGGTGTGTTTTGCACATTTTGACTTCAAAATGTGCTTCGCGCCACAACGGCGTGCACTTTTTCGACATCTCAACTTCCAAAAGTGGTCCGAGACCAGTTTTTTTTAACACTTTTGACTTGAAATGTGCTTCGCGCCACAACGCGTGCACTTTTTTTTTCGACATCTCAACTTCCAAAAGTGGTCCGGAGACCGCCAGTTTTTTAACACTTTTGACTTGGAAACGTGCTTCGCGCCACAACGGCGTGCACTTTTTCGACATCTCAACTTCCAAAAGTGGCCCGAGAATGGTGTGTTTTGTACATTTTGACTTGGAAATGTGCTTCGCGCCACAACGGCGTGCAATTTTTCATCTCTCATCTGGCCAGCTGGCTCCGCACCCGCCGCTTTAGCGAGCCTACTTTTCGACCCCCCCGAGCCCCAAATCATTTGAAAAACACAGTCTTTCGCGACATTCCTACCTTTTCACGCATCTGCATCTTCTTTCTTCTTACTCTTTCTCTTCTACTCTTCTTTCTTCTAAGCTTTCTCTTCTCTCTGCCTCTTCCCTGCGCTGCTTTTCATCTGTCCATATTGTCGGAAGTTTGACTTCTAAACTTCCTTCGAATATACAAGATATGAGTTCATTCTAGGTTTTCACACATGCCATTTTTTGATATTTTTGGGGAGTTCGCTTTGGATCCATGGCTGCTTTCACCATCTCGGATAGATAGCCCTCAATTCAGTTTACGGTAGTGCAAGCACGTGCAAGCGGTTGCTACACTTTGAATTGACTGAATTGACTGAGTTGACTCTGGCTAGTGTAGCAAAGCGTCCAGTATTGAGTATATTGCAATATTGAGTATTATTGAGTTACTAGGTGACATGGTGACACGCAAGATTCATCAGATATCATCCCGCACAGAGTTGATGACATGGCTGAGGCGTCAGCAGGTTGCGAAGATTTTCCATTCCGGCATGGAGCGAATGCTGGTGGTGTACCTGCGATCTTTGGGTAGTGCTATGGAAGATGCACCTCCACTGCAATCAGAATTTTCCTATGAGAATTCTGCCATGTAGTTCTGTCTGGCACACTCGGGCACACTGGCCTGATGGCACAACCTATGACGCGTATGACGCGACATGTGACATGTCACGTGACCATTGCCATCGTTTTTGTCAGCGGAATTTTCACATGTGAAGACTCGTGACAACTCGTGACAACTCGTGAATTCGAAGCTGTGAGGCGCTCATCGTGGCAGATCCAAGGCCTGCGGACGAAATCCACCAGGCCCAAAGCAAAGTCACTGCAACTCTTTGTCAGATGTCAGATGTCACCTTTGCATCAGATCATTGCAACTTCAATGATTGTAAGAACTATACATCTATATAATTTAAATTACGACGATAAACTAGAATAATTAAGCACTATCTAGATCTCTAGATGATCTCTAGATGATCTCTAGATGCCCACGTGATTCAAAAAGCCGCAGTGGCAACATGACTGGCACCATGACGACGTGACGTGGCGATGGATGTGTCGTGATATGTCGTGATGTAAGAAATTGTCGTCCAGGCTTTCCAGAAGTCTCATGCGTTCGCTGAACCGCCGACTTTCTACTGCGTGTGTACCTCAAAGCTGAAGAAAGGCGGTCCGAGGTCCCAGAGATACCAGTGCATCATGTGCATCATGTCATGTGCATCATGTGCATGATGTGCATGATGGGATCGTCATGTGCATCGGGAGCATCATGGAGCATCAAGCGCAGAGTCCATGTCATTCCATGTTGCATGTGTCGATGGAACTTAAGATTGCAAGCCATGCAAGCCACGACACGCCTTAAAATGGCTGAGAAATGCAATGCAAACCCCTGCATTCCCGAAGAATCACACAACTTATCACGAAATTATCACAAAGTGTTGAAATATGTTGAAATCATAATCGATTGCTTCGATTTGCTGCGGGTGTTTCTTCCACGTGCTTCCAAACCTTCAGGTTCCAAGTACAGCGTTCACCAGGGTGACCATTGCAGTGGTGGTGGTTGGGATGCAGTGGATGGCGGAGTGTGGAGAGCTTATGCAAAAGAGAAGCCTGGAATGAAGGCCAAAGAGTTGAAACATGTTGAAACATGTTGAAACTGATGAGTAGTGGGCCAGTCGGCACTGCTTGTTTCATCTTTTGTTTTTCGACTTTCTAGACACAGCGATTACAATTCCAAAAGAGTTTCCATGCCAACCTGAATTTGAAGGCTGTATTTGTCCTATTTCTCTCGAACTAATTCGAATTCAAATGTTCAGTGCTGCATTGTGAAACAGCTGCGCTGTGAGTGTCTCATCTCGTATCTCAACCTGGTTTCGAGCTTGTTTAAGAGGCCATCACATGGTGCGACAATGAGAAGCATTGGACCCAAATCATGGTGAAAGGCCAGGCTCAGTTAGGCTCAGTTAGGCTCAGCAAATCTCAAAATATCTCAGATCTTTCAGACTCTTTCAGACTCTTTCGCTGTTGCAACACGGAGGATCCTGCGGGATCCTGTTGCAAGGGCTTGCGAGATAACCATGTCATTGTGACATATTGTGACATATTGCGACATATCACCACGTGCCACATCCTCTGTTTTCTCCTAGAAATCTTCAATCGCAACTTGTTGTGGGTTGCTTTGACCAGGCGCCAGCTGTCCTGAATCCTGGTCTGGTTTGAAGTGGGTTCATGGTGGCACGTTCTACGTGAAAGAAGGATCTTCTTTTTGCACTGGAACGCGCAAGACTGAAGCCGAAGAGACCTCGTTTTCAAAGCTGGTGGCCAAGAAGAATTGCCACTCAGATTCTATGGCTCATCAATGTTCATCAATGTTCATCATGATACATCATAATATGACATAATATATACGCGGTTTAATTGATCTTAATTGTTGTGCGCATTGTTGTATTGTAATATTATAATTCATGATATATCATGTATGTTCTCAGTTGTCGCATGTTGTCGCAAACTTTTGAGCTGTGTCCGCTCTGTCCACGAAGCTATGTCGATATGTCGACGCACAATGACGCACAGGTGGTGGAGACGGTTTCTCGCACGACATGGGCTTTGATCCCGCGCCATCGCCAGATCCTGTGGCCAGCGTTGGGATTTGTGCCTCGACCGCAATGATCACAATGCGATATAATGCGACCAGTCACTGACAGAATCAACATGATTCTTTTGGGGATCAAGCCTCATTGATTCTAATCCGATACCTCATGATTCAATTCTAATCTTGGAACTTGTTCATTGTTTTTTTCGCTGCGTGACACTTCCTCTTTGAAGTCCTCGATGTGAAATATCGTGAGCCTATCTGAAACAACCAACTGTCAAAGTCCATAAAGCGTCAGAAACACATAAAATTACTTCACTTCGAATGATCCCCACCATGGCATTTATACATTTCTTACTGGCAAATCTTCTGGCATTCTATCTGACATATCTTCTGGCATTCAATCTGGCATATGTTCTGGCATATCTTCTGGCATTCTATCTGACATATCATCTGGCATTCTATCTGACATATCATCTGGCATTCTATTTGGCATTCTATCTGGCATATCTTCTGGCATATCTTCTGGCATTCTATCTGGCATGTCTTCTGGCATTCTATCTGGCATATGTTCTGGCATATCTTCTGGCATTCTATCTGACATATCTTCTGGCATTCTATCTGGCATATCTTCTGGCATTCTATCTGGCCGTTGAGGTCCGGCAGTGCCCACTGCGATCTGGAAGTCGCGGTTGAGGTCCGGCAGTGCCCACTGCGATCTGGAAGTCGCGGTTGAGGTCCGGCAGTGCCCACTGGGATCTGGCGCTCGCGGTGGAGGTCCGGCTGTGCCCACTGGGATCTGGACTGCGAGGAGGAGGAGGAGCAGGACGAGGAGGAAGAGGAGGAGGAGGCGGAGGAGGAGGAGAACAGCTCTGATAAAATCTAACAACCCTCACCTGGCAGGTGGGGAATAACAATCTTGAATTTTTGGATAAACCATGTCAAGAATAGAATGCCCATGCACAAACTGTACTTGGAAGGACCTCTTGGATGAGAACTACAGACTAAAATATCTAAAATGTTGTTCTATGTTGTTCTGATTTATGATGCATATATGATGCATTTGTTTGAGCAAGTTCTGAGAAGCACATGTCAAACAGTTCATATTGTGCACGTCGTAGGATGAGATCCATTGCAGTCCAAAGGAAACATGGGGAAACCAAAAAGGAAAACACGAGGAAACTGGATGTGTTCAGACTTCAGACGTTTATTTATATAATTTTATATCCATGTTATTTTTAGATAAAAAAATTGAATGCATATTGAATGCTCAGTATTCCAATATTCATTTAGATGTGGTCCATGTCAATGTCTAACATTCTCTGTTTTCAATGACTAGAGGCACTTTGACCCCTTCGCAGGTGTTGGCCAAGATTCGTCGAGTCAAAAGGCAAAGATCTCTATGCTCGATGTTCCTCGGGCTGATATCAGAAGAATCATGAGAATCATGAGATTCTTCTTGGTGTATCTTGGTGTTTTTGTATACAGACTTATACATTATACATGTTACTCACATGACAACGATTATCGTGGCTGTATCATCCACTGTGTGAGAATTGAACCTGGATTCAAATGGAATGTTCCGCGTTTTTGATAGTGACATTTAGTGGCTAGTGAGACGCTTGGCAAAAAATGATGCCCGACGCTGCAAGGAATGCGATGACGGCGGATTTTCTCACGTTGCTCGCTTTGCTGCCCGCAGAGCCGTGTATGCTTCGAAGTCTGACCGAATTTTCTGCGTCGTTCCATCTTCAGATGGCGATATCATTCGAGTGACTTGACAGTTGAGAAGATGTTGAGAGAATTTGAGGCTAGTTCAAATATTTCGCAAGAAACTCACTTGAATTCGAAATGATTTTGATAGTTGTGCTCAGGCAGGCAGCCGTTGCAGTGGCAACGAGGGTTTTGACTTTGCACTGCCTGTGGAACGTGAACACAAGGTGGCTCGGTCTAAGCATAAAAGTGCCAACATCGCCTCATCGCTATCATTTGAGATATTTGAGAAGTGGAACACAAGTCACAATCAGGTGGTTGTAGGAGAGGACAAATATGAATCAAATAATATATATATTTTAAAGATGATTTCTTCTGTGGTTTGATTTTCTTGGCGAGGCAAGGTACATCAAGGCGTAAGAAGACTCGACAAGCCGTCGCATGTTTTCTGTTTCTCTCAGGTAGCCCGTGTGGCGCCAGAGCTTGGAAAATCCTTACGCCTTTGTGTGGGCTTTCGAAAAGGCCAGCGACAGCTTTCCGGAGAATATTGCAACATATTGCAACAGGCAACAGACATATGCAGCATTCCGCAGTGGCAATGATGATGTTTTCACTGTTCTCTAATGTTCTCTAATGTTTGAATGACTACATTGTTCTTACGTTGTAGTTGTGACCTATGTCCAGTTTCTTGTTTCAGCTCTGTCAGCACCATGATGTTCTTCTTTTCTTTTCGGGAGTAGATGTTGGTCATGCTACTTTTTAAAGTAAATTTGGAGTCGACAGAACTTGAGGCAAAGACAGAGCTTTTGTGGGAGTTGACCAACAATGTGAAACCTTGCAGAGCATCGCGGCTGAGAGATTTCGTTTTTTACTGTGGCATGAGCAAATTGCCACGATGGGGTGGAGTGACGACTTCTTAGAACCAAGTCGAACCAGGTAGAGATGGTAGAGATGGTAGAGATGGTATAGCAAGACGAGCAAGACGAGCAAGACATGGCAACATAGTACTGTGACAAAAGATACTTAAAAGATCTTAAAAGATACAAAAGATACAAAAGATATACTTAAAAGCTTTGGCCGAGGTATCAGCGTGGATTTCAAGGTGCCATCGTTGCTGGACATCGCAGCTTCAACACCTTCGAGTTCAACCGGTTCAACTTCCGAGACGGCACCGTTGTTCACCATTGTGGAAGAACAGGTCTGCATCCAACGAGCATCCAGCTGTTCATAGCTATGTCATAGCTGTTCAATGAACTTCAATGAACTTCAATCCTTTTCGTGTCTCCATTGTCAACATGTCAACATATGTCAACATTGTTGGTCAAGGTCAAAGTCCATCGGATTCCATCGGTATCATTTTTTATTCGTTCTTTATATTCTGTGTGATCATCCGTGATCCACCAATTGTATGCTATAGATGCTATACTGACTGCACTGGCGACGCTGGCTACACGGCTACACTTGCACCCTCTAGTTGGGCTTCAATTTGTGCAGGTTCTTTGCTTTGGTTTCCTTTGCCCACATGTGCTGAGCAGCTTGAAGTGACCGAAGCTGTTTGCTTTTGTTTTGACTCGCTATAGCGATGCTCACTGTTGAACCACATCAAGTAGTCAAATGCAGAACAGAATGTTAGAACTGATGTGTATAATGTATATATAATGTGATATCCATTAATCCATCCGTGTGTTCTTGTTGCTGATGCATTACGCCATGCGAAGTCAAGACTGAAAAGTGGTAGATTGGACTGGCAATTCAATCTGCCTCAGCTTGAACATCGAGCTGGCCATGCACATAGTTGCCACATGTTGCCACGAATCTCCTGTTGGATTGGTGAAACAAGTTCCAGCTTTTGCCTGTTCGATGCACAAGATGCGATACATCTTAACGATAAGGACATTGCAAGACAGACATGTGGATGTAATGCAAACATCTGGGATCTAGTAGTCTAGTCACATTGTGATGACCTGCGAATTCCTGTTTGCTGAAGTGGCTACTCACAAGCAGCACAAGCAGCTCATGCTTTTGAACGTTTGCACGGAGGCCACAAGTGGGAATGGATTTGGACCAGGAATGCCAGAGAAGAAACGGAAGCACAGAGCTGAAACAGAGCTGAAGTGGTGACAGGAGAAACTACACGGAGGACGGAGACAAAGGAAACAAACGTAACTAAGCGCTTCCTAAGCGCTTTAAGGTGGGACACATGTTTCTGTTATATTTCTGTTATGAACTGCTAAAAAGGACCTGACAGGTATTAGACAAACACTGCAATGGATCTGTGCAGGAAAGAATTTCGTCCAGTTTTGAGCTGTATCGATTGTGTGTCATGGTGACCTGGGTCAGCAGATTCGATAGAGATTCGACAGAGATTCGACAGATATGCCAAGGTTCGTTGATGTCAAAACTGAAGAAATCTCGGCCGTCCTTGGCATTGGCAATGGGTTCGGCTCTTACATTACACTCAAGAATCCAGAAAAGTTTGAATGCCCTTGTCTCAGGAATGCTAATTAGGTCTATATTAGGTCGGTGTATTCTATGAGAGTTCCGAACACTTTGGCCAACTTCCTGAAATGTCCTGAACACCTTATAGCACCTTACAACACTTTTTTTCACTGTGATCTGAGAGGCCAGAAGGCTATTCAGTGCGAGAGGGCAAAGTCTTGGCCGGTGATGTGGAAGCTTTCCAGGTCCGTACAGATGCAGTATAGATTGATGTAGATCGACCTCGGAGCGTAGATAATGTAGATGTCTATAGATGTCTGATCATGTTTCTGTGAAGCAAGGACTTCTGTCCTCATGTGTTAGTTCAAAAATATGGCAAGAAACCTGATTGAGGATTTTGAGGTTGAAAGGCATGTCTCATCGATGGACAAAGCATTGTGATATATGTTGTGGAAATCAATCTGTTTTTGCTTCCACATGTTCAGGTTCTCCGGCTGACAGAGTGGCCCACCGCCAAACTGGCATTGATTGTGGTGATATCACGTAAAGCTTTTCCAGAATGAGAAACCATAGAAACAGTGGCGGTAAGTGCAACATTTCAGTTTTCGCTGTTGGCAAGTGACGGGGGAGTACTGGGAAGATCTGAAGAGTGGCAGGCAATACTTGGTGCAGATATTCTAGTTCGAGAACGGCTCGTATTCTCGCCAGCTCCCTATTGCATGCGACAAAAATCAACCTAAAATGGAGGAAAAATAGTAATACAAATCCCTAAGTTGCAAAGTTACACTTCGTTGACTCTGATGTTTGCATTTCCTGAGGTTTAGATTGAACCGAATGTGGCTCCCAGCGACTGAAAGCCCACTTGAAGCCAGAGAAGTTGTCGACGTGTGAGAAAAGGACGAAAGATGCGAAGAAAGGATTCATCGATGATTCATCGGCATACTGAAGCCTTGTTTTTTTCTCCGATTTGATTCCACTCATTGCATTCTTCACTGCATTCTCAGCCGCCTCAGTACGAAGAACTTTGGACTCATTTCGTTTCAAAAACAAGATCAGGATCCATCATTTACATTCATGTACATTCATTTACATTCATTTACAGCATCCACATATTCCTCGTTGGAGTTGTTTTACCTAACAGTTTTCAATTCTATCATGATCGTGGCTCAAAGCTTATCGATTGATTCTATGCCGTGGGCAATTTTGCTGTGGATTGTTCCTTGGACGAAGTTCTTTGTTTGAAGTAAACTTTATGAACATGTGTGAATTCGGCATAGATTTCTTTGCAGGTGTTTTGTTTTTGGAGTGACTTAAATTCCAGAATCTTAAGAGTTCGGAGAGTGTTCTTAAGATTTTCTTCAGAAGTCTACTTCCTACATCTTCCTACTGACACGCGGAGAGGTTTCTCAATGAGCGGCTACGCGAAAGACTCCGCGGGGAAAAACCCTCGTGGCTTCAGCAGCAAAGCGTCCCTATGGGAAGATTTCATTCATTTTCATTCTACAATATTCTACACATTTATCCGGACATAGATATCATAGATGGGACGTGACCGGACATGATGGGGCATGCCATGGCATGCCTATGTTGATTTGCCGAACAAGTCTTTGCCATGAAGAGAGGTGCGAGTTACATATGTTACATGGAGTCTCCCGGAGTTCCATTGAGAGGAAATGAGAGGAATATATGATTTTGATATATAAAAAACATGGAAACGGACAAATGAATACAAATGAGACATGACACGAGGGGACTTATAATAGGATGCATTTTTTGCGGTCTATTGCGATCTTTTGATATTGGATGCCGAGATGGCAGATGTCAAATGGTGAGATCCAAGGCATCCTGGCGTTGTTTGACGTGGATGGGACGCTGACAGAAGCGCGCAAAGTGGTTTCACCAGAGACGGTTTCCTTTTTACAGGTGCGCCGTGCGCGTTTAGCAAGATTGTCCAAAAAATATCAAAAAATCAACAAGATTCATAGTCAGCATAATTAGTACGGCTCAGCAAGGTTTCGACTGCAGGTTTGCAGTTTTTCTCATGTCAGTTTCTCCTTGCTATTGAATGGATCCAGTGATGCCAATGTAGTAGCAGGTTGACAGATTACAGTATGACAGTATCCAACAGTCACTTCAGTTCATCATTGATCATGATAGCCTCACAGTCTCAACGATAGATATGATAATCTGAAGGATAGTGATGAACCATGATGAACCATGATGAACCATGATGAACCATGATGAACCAATGGTTTCTGATGGTCTCACCGAAGAACGTGAAGAAGTCTTGTCTTGAGGCCTTGCGGACAAAGATCTGCACCGGCGTTGTGGGAGGCTCCGACATGGTGAAGCAGAAGGAGCAGCTGGGTGACAGTGTGGCCCTCAAACATGACCCGGCCCGATGTGGCCGGGCCCGATGCTCTCAGAGATCTGCTTTGGGGGTTCCAGAAATTCAGAGATTTGAAAGACTTGTTCACAGCTTGACAATTAAGGTGAGAATGAGTGAGGACGATGAAATGCTTTTTGTTTGGGGTGTTTCCAAGCTCATTGAGGTCCAATGTTGTTTGACTATGCATTCTCAGAGAATGGATTGCTGGCATACAAGGTCCGAATGCGAAGCTGGACGTAGGGACGGTTGGGACGGTAGGAACAAGAGAGGAGCAACCGTCAGCATGTCAATGCGGTGTCGATTGCAGTTCTCTGGCCTGGATGTGACGTTGATATTTATTGAATTTGATTGATATTTGTTGTACATTACATTGCCCAAAATGAAAACTATTGAAGCTGACACCCAGTTTGCCCGGTATTTCCCGGTATATCCCGGTATGACGTATGACCATGGACCCTAGGATGGCCAGAAAATTGGCGAGACGTCGATTGTGAAGCATCTCGGAGAGGAGCTTGTCTTGCAATTTTGCTCAGACAGAAGCAGTCAGGATGAGTCAGGTGCTATGTGGGTACCCATGTGTGACATATTGTGTGACTATGTGACACTATGTGTTACTGCATTTAGCAGCTTGACGAGCTTGGCTTGGAACACGTCTATAATTACATATGTTGATCGTATTCTCTGTGTGTGAACACATCCACTGTGTTTGTCGGGGCCTTTATCGTTCATTGCAGTCCTGGAGAGGAGAAGCTGAAGAAGCTCATCAATTGGGCCCTGAGGCAACTTGGTATTGTTGACAAATGGCACCGCATGGCGCAGCGTCTTCGCTCATGAGGTACTTTGCAGATCTGGACATTCCAATCAAACGCGGCACATTCATCGAATTCCGTCAGGCAAGACCGAATCATGTGAAATTTATCCAAATATTGAGCATCCCAGCCATTGCAAAATGCACGTGCATGATCTGCCACGAAACTGCCACGAAACTGGAATGATGTGACATGGTGATGTGGTGTGATCTGACGAGGGCATGCTGAACATGTCTCCTATTGGCCGCAACTGCAGCAGAGAAGAGCGTCAATGCCTCAGAGACACTTCTGTCAACCACCTCCAAGATGTCTCAGGCATCCTTAGGCCACCCCACAATGACCTTGACCTTTCCAATAACCTCATTTGATCTCATTTGATTTCAATTTGCCTTTACAGTGGATTGCGGTGGTTTGCGATCGTTTCAAGTAGCCTCATGTCATTTTCCGTGCTTAGGAAACGACTTCGAAAAGTTCGACTTAGCTAATGGCATCCGCCAGGTGCGGAGATGAACCACAGATCTTCATAGATCTTCCGACATCATTCCGCCCCGCATCGCCCGATCCTGGGCAGACCATGGTGGAAAAGATGCGGAAGGAGTTTGCAGACTACGGCTTGAGCTTCTCCATAGGCAGAGCTTGACATCGACACGGCAAAGCGCCGCAATTGGCATTTGGCAATCTTTGAGTTGCGACGTCACAGCATGTCCATGGCCAACGTGTCACGACATGTCAATTTCTTTGGAGGTGGGCAAGTCTCTTTTGACGTGTTTCCGATACTCGGCTCATTGGCTACTGAATTTCCTGGCAAATCGAGTCAGAAGCAGTCCAGCAGTGAAGTATGGTCAGTCTTGAGATGGGGTAAAAGATGGGTAAAAGATGGGTAAACGGTAAAAGTCTTATTGCAATTTATTGCAGACTATTGTTACCAGAATGATCAGAATGCAGTCCGATTCTTTGGCTCCTTGATAGTACGGATTTGTTTTTTCAATCCCATTCTGCCCTCCTCCTTCCTTGTTGGCTTGCTTGGTAATTTTACTTGCCTGCTTGCTTGTTTGCAAGTTGTTCTGTTTTTTAGTACTGTGTTGAGAAATTGCGCAAGAGCTGAAGTTTCTGATATATTTCTCAGTATTGTTTGCTTGTCCAGATATGTGCGTACTTGTGTGCTTGTATTCTTGCTGCTGCTACTGTTGTTGTGTTTGTTGTGTTTGGTGTTTGTTGTTGTTGTTGTTGTTGTTCTTGTTCTTGTTCTTCTTCTTCTTCTTCTTCTTCTTCTTGTTCTTCTTCTTCTTCTTCTTCTTGTTGCTGCTGCTGTGTGGTGTGGGATTGGTTTGTTCACATCTGGGACGTCAGCTCACATCGCACCTCAAAGTTTTTCATGGAGTCATGAATTGAATGTTATGTTTGATATTTCAACCGCAACTTTGGCCCCGAATAATAAGATTCAGATAAGACATATGATGCAAAATGATACAACCTCAACAGACAGCTCCTGCCCAACAGCCATGGGATGTGCCATGTGTCATGAGAATCGTAGGCACGCAGTGCATGTGAGTCCCCATGTACTTCCATCATTTTCCACTGCGCTCCAGGACCGGTTGGGACAAGACCTATTGCTTGCGATATCTCCCAGAAGCCGACTTTGACGAGATCCATTTCTTTGGGGACAAAACGTCCACGTCTCATCCAATCACAATGTTTGCTAAAAAGTGTGTAGAAGTAATATGAAGTAATGATGTCTTAAGCTGAAGGTTCCGCATGTTCTACCAGGTGTGAAGCCTTTCGATGATACATATGTTGATATCATGGTTGAAGTATGTTGAAATGCTTGCAGTGGTGCAGATAGTGACCCTTAGGTTCGAAGGTGGCAACGACTTCGAGATTTACACCCATCCACGGACGATCGGACATAGCCACAGACTTGGTGATAAACGGTCTACGGTAGTCTACGGCATTCACATGGCATTCACATGGCATTCACTCCACAACTCGTTTTTGGCAAAGACTTCAGGAAAGTGTTTTCCACGTGTTTTCCACGTGTTGCTATGTGCAAAGATTCACACCAAGGCATTGATGACCAAAATCCACTCACAACCCTCAAAAAGTCCAATCCTCTGAGTCCTGAGAGCTTTTTGGCAGTTTTGTATTTTGATCTCGAAAGACCAAGAAACTTCGAAAGACAACTCTGAAGAGATTGTGAAGATATCTTCAAATTTTGCAATGTGCCTTTATGATCCTTTATGTGCTTTCCACAATGTGAACATGTTTGTCGATGTGGTGCAGTTTTCTCCTGAAATACACCCAGACGGGACCCAGACATTTGCCATTTCAATGCAATGTCTAGCTGCGCATTGCTGCACATTGCTGCACCTTCCTGCATCTTGAGGTTGGAGGAGCTTTTTGGTGTCCCAGCACCAAAATCTTTGACGCCACCAAGCGCCTCTTTCTGAAATGATCTGAAATGTGAGAGCAGTGCTCAGGTGTCTCAGGTGTTCTTAAAAGTGCAAGATGATACGTGATGACATGCTATGACTTCAAAATGGTAAGACCGTGTAACAAGTCAGTTCTATAGTTCACCTGTAACAATTTGGAAATATTTGGAACGGGTGCAATCAGTGAGTGTATTCCACAGTTACTTTCAGAGTCATTTGAGCAACGTTTGAGCAACATGGATGATCATGGATGCATTGCCGAATGGAATCATCACAGGGGGTTCTTGTCAGGTGCTCACTGAGCGGCCAAAATTGCGGCCGAATCCTCCACATGTCAACTGCGAAAAATGGGGCAAGGATGGGCAAGGATGAGATATGCTGACTTATGGTGGTTATATGATGTTATAATATATGTTATATGTTATGGCAAGATGATATGGTAATCAGAAATGGAAACATCAGATTTTCCTTCATGCTGAATCTTTTTTTCCCTGGCATAATTGTAGCCATTTTCAAACAAACCGGCTTGGCCATGGCGGAGCCTGAGCATTTTGGCAGCACAAATCACTTGGTCCACTTTGGATGTTTGGCAGCGATGCGTCCCAGAGTCCCAACTTGTGAGTCCCCAGGTACGAGTATGACTTGTTCGCTACCCGGCAGCAAGCCGACCTTAGATGTTCGAAAACATGTTCAAACACTCATTAAACTGCAAGATCGCCCAATTGTAACCTTGGCTAATTTTAAATTTGAGGAAGGCAAATCCACGTAGCGGAACGCCAAAAGAGGAACAATTTTGCGTTAGTGGTGCTTTGTGTTAGCACTGCCGTGCGAATGTTTCCAGAACGCTTCCCCAACCTTTTGCAAAAAAGCAGGCATCTTTCGATTGACATCATGAGCCATCAAAACTGGCTAATTGTTTGTCGGCGCAATGCGTTTGGATGCAAACGTAGCAACATGTATAACTGTTATGTGATTGATACTTCGCAGTTTCAGCACTGATGGAGTTTCCAAGTATCAGACTGCCAATTATCATCTCGAATTATGTTGCGTCCAATTAATTATGCTGAGAAAATTATCACGGAAATGTTTCTGAGCATTTCCCATCCGAAAAATGATGTGTTTTATATTGTTTCTTTGGAATTTTGTCATGCCATGCTCCGTTCACAAATTCCAACAGGTCATCGGCGGCGGTTCTGGTGGTCTGGCAGCCGCCAAGCAAGCTGCCGACCTTGGGGTCAAGGCTAAAGACAACACATAGTATGTTAACAATGAATATCAGTTAATATAATAATATGTACAACTATGAACGTGGTGTTTTTTCTTATCGGTATGAATCTGTTTCCCAAAGCACTACAGTAGAGGTCGTTTTGAAAAATGAAATCTTTTGAATCTGAACTGATGACAGACGCTGTGACAGACACTATGACCGATGTGTAAAAACATTTTAAAAACCATGTGTTCGGAACGATGAGTTTGATGCTTTGGGCAGGTCGCCGTCGCTGACTTTGTGAAGCCATCGCCTGCTGGAACCACTTGGGCACATCGGACGAGTTTCTGAACGCGAAAGATGCAAAATGTTTCAACATCACCAAATTGTGTACTATATTATTATATCATATAATATGTCATATATTTTTCTAATTTACTTATTTGTATTAAAATAAAGATCTGCATTTTTGGAAACCGGCCAGGGCCTGGGAGGCACGTGCGTGAATGTGGGGTGCATTCCGAAGAAGCTCATGCACATCTCATCTTTGTACAGAGAAACCCAGGTGCGTCGTGCGTTCCGCTGTTCACTGTTCACTGTTCCGCTAAGCTGGCCAAGCTGTCATAAGCTGTCCTTTGCGTTACCAATGTTTCCTTGCTACCGTTTTTTTACATTTTGCATCGTTTTGCCTGTTGTTACTTGCTTTTTGCCTTCTTTACAGCTTGTCTTTTCTGGCGCGTTGCATCAAAAGCATGGCAGCAAGCAGACTCTCACTGCCCAAGTCCTCCAAGTCCTTCTCTGAAAGTTCCAGGTTGATGCACACGGCATGGGTTGGGAAACAAAGTCTTCTCACAGCTCCGACCTGAGAAACAGCGGAAAAGCGGGTCTGGAATCCGACTGAAAGGGAGAACGAACAGAGGCAACACACGGCACGGCAGACCTAAGAAGAAGAGAGTTAGGGACCTATGTGAGGACATGTGAGGACCAAGAATCTGATGCCGGTTGCGATGTGTCTAGCGTCTTCGAGTCTTCAACCTCAGATTGAAAGAACCATATTGTTTGAAATTATGTGCCATCCCTCCAATGGTTGTATGGATTTCATAAAGCTCCAATAGATTTCGTCGGCTCAATGTTTCTCACATGTTCTTCTTGGCATCAATACCTGTTGCAGCAGACAAGGCTGGTCTTCCATGGTGACGCAGGCGAGCAAACTTGATTGATGCAGCATTTCGCACCATCAAACTCAGCTGTGCCCAGTGCCATGGTCAACCCCATGATGTATAGTTGTAACATGTTGTAACGCAGAAAGGGGCGGTATTGCTAGGTGTCAACATGCAGCCTAGCCATGCCTAGCCATCATTGAATTGTTCCCAGACTATCTTGCTTGATTCCCGGCCTAGTGCGCGTATGTCGTTTCTACTGACAGGTTGACAACTACATCAAGTCCCTCAACTGGGGTGCGAAGACCGACCTGCGAAGCAAAGCTGTGAAGTGACCCGGAGGTCGATATTTTTTTCAAGTTTGTTCAGTTTTCCAAGACAAAGACATACAAAGACTATAGAAAGACATATTATTGATATTTATTGATTAACAATTGACAAACTTTAACACAAGTTGAACATAGTTGAACATTTGACGAAGGACAAGTGTTTTTGCAGGTACTACAATGCCTTTGCCACCTTCAAGGATCCTCACACGATTTCCTTGGACAACGGAAAGGGCAAAGTGGAGGAGGCGGGACTCGAAAGCAGCAGAATTACCAGTCTTTTTCAAGGATGCAGCAAGACATAGCAAGACTTTAAGAAAACAATGTGAGATGTTTTGCCTATTACTAGCCTATTACCGTAGAACTGTCGCAGTCATGCCGTCTTCAGTCTTTTTCTTCGTCTCCTGTTTGGGGGAAGACATTTCCCCATCTCACATCATACATTATATGTGCATGTATCTTTCCAACAAAGCCCTCACGGTAGAGTATGAATCAAACTTCTCGGGAAAAATGGTTCCACCTTGTGCATTAGGATGGAGGCATCATCACCATCACCATCATCACCATCAATGTCATCAACGTCATGATATGCCAATGTGCATCATCAGTTTTGCAAGCAATTGCCTTGCCTTCCATATCAACATTCTTTTGTGCTTCATGAAATGCTCCCGGTGTTCGTCCTTTATCCGTGGCTTCCCGTAGCTTCAAATTCTGAATGTCTGGGTCAAAAGTTCGTCACACCAGAGGTCACTGCCAAAAATATCCTCATCGCTTGTGGTGGTCGACCTGCTTATGGAGACTACCCAGGTGTCAAGGACTGGAATCGCCAGCCGGAAGCAGTTTCATTGTCGCATAATGTCGCATATTGTCGCAAGGATTTAATTAAGAGCAGATGCAACTGGGAATTTTATTTTTGTGAAGGTAAGGATGGGTTATTCCAACGAAAATGACATAATTGGATTTAATTAGTGAATATTCAATGGTGCATTGAAGAAAAACACTAAATCTTTGCAAGAGCTTAGTGAAGTGCACTTAGGCTCTTTCCAGATGTTTCTCGATTTGCACATCGGTGTTGCCCCTTTCATCAGGAATGCTGCATTAGCTCCGATGACATCTTTTGGCAAAAGAAGGCAGGAGCAGAGCATCAGAGCACGGGATCTTTCAGAATGCAATGTGGAGCCTGTGCAGAGACATGCAATATGGAGCCTAGATATAACATGGCGGCCGAGACCTTATGAAAAAAAGTATCAGCAATGGCTGTCACCAATGTGAGATGATGCGAGATGATGTGTCAATGCAACGATTGCTGTAGTCCTCCCAAACATATATCACCAAACTTCACCGAACATACATTAATTTAATGTAATTCATGTTAACATAGACTCTAAAGACGAATCCGGAGGAATCCGGACGAATCATGTCCCAGGCGCCTGGCAAAACGCTGGTGGTTGGAGCTTCGTACATTGCTTTGGAGTCCCTCCCACCACGTTGCCTTTGGCACTTTGGCACTTTGGCACTTTGCCTGTCATACCTTGCAATGCTTCAACTGTGTTCCATACCTTGATGAACATATCTTGAGCTTGTGATGTGGATGGCAGCCATCAGGCTTTAGCAGAGAAAAAACAGCAAAATGACAAGTGTACAACCTGGACGATGCTCAGATGTTCTGCCTTTGCTACAATCGCTACATTGCTACTGTATTTTACACCAAAAAAAACAATCATGATTTACAATCTAGAGCTGAACATGGTGGTGCAATTGGCGTCGGAGATTTGAAATGCCTCAACACTGATAATTTTCCTTGGGAAAAACCGCATTGACGCCATGGCAAAAGGCTCTTTGGAGTTTCATGAGGAGAATTATGGAACCGATGAAAACGATTAATTGTTATGTTTGGCTCATGAAAGCCCAAAGCCACCTCAGTTCATCATCAAAGCTTTGGTGCCAGTTCGGGTCACTCAAAAACAGTCTTGGATTCTTCAGAAAAGCAGAGAGACGAACCAAAGATGTCGCAACATGTCGCAACTAGAGTTGCATGGATTTGCGTTTGATGTATTTTACAATTTTTTGGGCACCGTCCTGCTTCAACGTTTCAAGGAGGTTGATGCTCGGCGTATCGAAAACGCCATGTGGCGGTGTTGGTCCAAGAGATTTGTATGATAAAACTGATTGATATTGAAATATATTGAATGCAGTGAATGCAGTGTTTTTGTCGTGGCAGATTGAACTTGGCACTCGAAAGATCTCGAAACCTCAAGCGCCACGGGTCATGACGATGTCACGTGAATCGTCCGTGAAGGTCATGGAAGCAAAAACAGTCCAAGGGATCCGAGGCGGGTTCGCTCCCCACAGAAACGCTTTTTGTTACCTTCGGCTATGTTCGGCTTGAAGAGTGTGAAGAATGTTGCACAATACACCATTTTGGCAAATATTAATAAGCCATCATAACATGTGAATTAGGCAGGCCATCATAACATGATGTTTTGTAGACCTGTCGTCCGTCGATATCAGGCCGAGAGCCTGCCAGAAGAAACGGGCAATCTTGAGAGGCCCACAGCTGTGGACTCTTCAAAGCAACGCGAAGCACATTCTTTTGAGCACCTAATCAACATTAATCAACATATCATCACATCATGTTTTCGCTGGTGCATGCTCTGCCACAAAACTCGCGTTTCACCGGGTGCACCGTGCTGTTGATGCATTTGCTCATTTTGCTCCTCAGTTTTCGACGTGCAGGGTGCGTGGCTCCATTGGAGACTGCATTGATTTCAGAGCCTCGACGGAGAGCATCTGAGAATATCTGAGAGCTCTCGAGCTCGTGGATGTTTCCCGTTTTTTGGTCCGTTTTGGTTATCTTTCATCATTCTTTCATCAGTTCATACCGATCATACCGTAGATATCACTTCAGTTTCATCATTTTTTCCAAACTTTCAGATCCAGAACGCCAAGATGCATGACTCCAAGATGCTCCAAGCCAAGGCCAAATCCGATATCCACAAGAAAAGCGTAGCTGCAGGCCATGGGCCATGCCTGTGCCATTGTGACACCCAGATTATAAGGAAAACTATAAGGAAAGGAGGCACAAGTTGAAACAGGCTGAAGTTGATAGATAATGAAGACTTTGATGAATTTTCCCATGTGAGATGTAGCCTAAATTATCATCGTAAAGTAATTTTGTATGGGACGTGTCGTCGCTATTTGGTTTTTAATGGTTTTTACAGTCCCACCCCAAAACGATAGGGGACGCACTAACTTACAATGAATACAACCCCAACCTATACTTTTGACGTTGAAGTCAAATATCTTATTCTGATTTCATGAGTCTTGCTCAGGTATGATGATTTGCCAACTTTCCCAATCAGGCTTGCTGATGTACTGTTCTTTGATTACATCACATTGATCTGACTATGCTGAAGCTGCGAGATGCACAAATATGTTCTTCTCAAAGTTTCTTTAGTGATCTTTAGATATCTTTAGCTGTTTTGTTGCTCCCAGACCAAACTTTGCCTCGTTCGAGAATTCTTTACGACCAGCTTCGCAATGTGTGGTCTTTGACGGCTGCCCAGAGGAGCGGTCGAGACATGTTATGACACATGGCCCTGTGAAGTCCCGATATCACCGATATCACTGACGATGTTACGATGTTGTGATTCATCAGGTTTGGTTGTTTCCAACATGTTCTGACTCGGCCAGTACCAGAGGCATTATCGACAGTGGAGAAAATGTGTTAAATAAATAACGTGGCAGTTTGTGAAGCCACAATATTGACTCATTGACACAGAAGAGTAGAATGGCAAACCTGCTGTCGGCCAAGATAGGAAAAGGCCGTAGAAGGCCAGGGAAGTTGAAGTGTTACTCTGCTCCGCGCAAAGCCTTGCGGTTTCTTTGGTCGTTGTGCTCGGAGGACCCTTATCATCCATCTAATACTCCGATCTACCAGACGTCTACCTTCGTGCAACCATCTTCCAGCGAGTTTGGTCCATACGACTACACGCGCCAGAAACTTAGCCAAACGTTGATTGTGTTGTGTTCACGTACGTGACCACTTCTGATCCTAGGATTGCTAGGATTGCTATGGATTGCTATGTTTCTTTATGTTCGTTGTGCTGGAGCACAGTTATCATAGCAATCACAGCATGTTTCTTCATGTCATGCTGTCATGCTGTGATTGTGCTCAGGTTCTGGCAATCCGACACGCACAGCTTTGGAAAAACATGTGGCAATGAGCGGACCTTAGGGATCTCTCGACAATCTCGACATCTTTCAACATCTTTGAATTTTGTTTGATGCTACTTTCGTAGTTGCGGGATGTTGCGCCAATCCTATATAATTGATTCATTGATGGTTGGAAGATGTGTGTCATGTGTGATCTTCAGAATCTTCAAATGGAAAATGATGAAAATGCATTGCCATTTACAACATTTTATAACCACAAAGAAGGCTTCAACGTGAACAGCCTTGCTGTGAACGGCCGCCTTGCTGAGCCGCCTTGCTGAAGGTTGGAGCACGCCGCAGCAGCTTTTGCATTCTCCTTTGGTATGGTCTGAAACTGAGCTACTGAGCCAGTGAGCCAGTTATAGATTTTCGCTACAGACAGCCACAGTTCCTGTTTCAAATTTTCAATTTCCCCATCAAAGTTTTTCAGCGAGATTTTTTTCAGAGATCTTGTTGCCGGTTGATCCTGTTGCTGTAAGGCATTGTAAGGATATGTAAGGATCATAAAAGGATCATTTACTGAATTTACAGTATCATAATTAAACATATTGATCCTATACTGATCCTATACTGGTCCTTATGTTGCAGTCATACCATGGAACATCGGTGAGTGTTGATCATGTCATGCAATGCATGCGGGTTTGCAAGCTCAGGCTGCGCTGCACACCGTGACACGTTTGCTAAAGCAGGCACGGCCCATTCAATATTCGATTCATTCACTTCATTCACAGGTTGTTCATACGTCGTTTGTAGATCGTTCATAGGTGCCAGTTGCATCCAGTTGCTGCGGTGAAAACATAAGATATGAAAAGTATTGAACAGTTATGAAAGACATCACGACTTCATCACGACTTCAGCCACTTCATGTCTTCAAGGGAGATCAAATCCTGGTGAACGAAGACATCTACGGTGGAATGCACCGTTTGCTCACTCAGGAGCGCAACACAGCACAATTCATTTTGCCGAAACACTGTTACTTGTGCCATGCCTGATCTATATGTATGCAGATCTGTATCATCTATATCATCTTGTTTTCTTTGATGGACAATGTTTTATATTTTCAAAATATATTCTCATATTTATGTTCATTATTTTCCTTTGTTGTTGCCACAATTGTTGGCGCATGTTGAAGACGTTGAAGTTTGCAAAGTCCCGCTGCAGGATTGCCAGCACAATGGTGTTCAGGCGGTTCCGATGTGTTGTACCGAACCTCCAGCCGTAAGCAGTTCAACTCCCTTTAGACTCCGCTAAGATTGTGAACACCGCGGATTTTCAACTTTATAATACTTTATAATACTTTATATACAAATATTAATTTGTAAATGAAGTTGTGCAGGTCACTTTTGTGGACACCACGGATTTGAGCACGGCCAAGAGCTGATTCGAAAAGTGAAACTGGTCTGGCGATGGCTGCATGGTTCTCGCATGGTTCGAGCCTTCGGTGCCTAGGTCGCAAAAGCGATCACGTCAAAGACGAAACTCATCCATACCGCTGCAGCCTCAGACGCGTGTGGACAGATTGATCACAATGCCTTGAAAATCCTTGAAATGTAGAAACGGTTTCCTGAACATCTTGAAACGATAGATTCTTAGATTCCGAAAGATTCCGATAGACGTCTAGATGCTAACAGCATCTAACAGCTGTTGACAGACCTTTCAGCCAGGAAAGCCCCTCGAACCCACGGATGCGCATCACAGACCTTCGAAAGCTGGCGGTCTTAGCGTCGGAGACTGAATCTGCCGAGATTTTGCCGCTGAATGGCAGCACTACACAGCCTGAGTTCATGTGAATCATTGACATGTCATGTGAGTTGTGACAAGATGTGACGAGTTCCAGTGTTTTCCCAAGTTCTTTGCAGTCTGAACTTGTACCATCTTGTACCCAGGCATCAGCACAACGTCTTGCTGAGTGTGGACAGTACTATGATGCCGTTCCTCGGCAAAATTTTGGCTCACCAAGGTACAATACAGGAGCAGTCTGATGAAAACTAGTATTATTATGTATTATTGTTTTGTGTAAATGCGTATGTTTTGTATGTGTATCGTGAATATATCGTGATGGCCATTGATGGCCTTTGCATTCGGTATATATATCACAACACATAGCATGTTTGCATAATTTTGCATATCATGTACTATCTTCAATTCAAAAGGATTCTACCACAAGCAAGTGCCAAATTCAGTCCACCCATTGCAACAGGCCTGTCATATGCCAACCACTCCTCCTGGGCGTTGACATTGTTGTCTTGCCCTTAGGGCCCTTAGGCTTGATATCTATTGAATTCTATTGATATATTTGATATACATTATATATATATACGTATATATATAATATATATATATATACATGATATGATATTGATATGACATGATGCCATTTTTCTGAGATTTTGTGGCATGAATGCTCGCAGCTGTCCTTGCAGTCTTTATCTTGGCCCATGAAGATTGTCGAAGTTCGAGGTCCATTCCGCCACAAAATTCTTCTCCGGACATGCAGACTGTACCGGAGGGCTTGTTTGCGTGCGAGATCCAGAGGCGCAAGCCCTGTGCAAAGTCTGCAAATGTTTTCTTACTCGTGCTGTTGCAGACGCAAGAATGATCAATCACTTGTGGCAGCACTCTGATTGAGATGAACAGGTTAGTGTATGTTATAGTCTGTTATAGTATTGTTTTTCTAGTTTTTGGTCAGCGGTACCAGTGGGATCCAGTGGGTCTTGCCGTTCTTGTTCCGGATGTGACGAATGCGAAGCATGCAGCGCTTGCAGTTGGCCCATCGTGTGGCATTTCTTCAGAACGCGGAGGGTACGGCCTTGGCACCCTTCGAGTGCCCTGTCGAAGTAGCTCGCGAAGGGACTTGACTCGCTTCATGTCGCTTCAATGTTTTTTGAGTCTCAAACTGACCATCTACCGAATCTACCGAACCCCCTGGTTGTCCCTTACCATGAGATCTTTCATGGTTTTGCCTGATGATTTGAGCTTTCAAGATTTTCAAGCTGCAATCTGATCCGTCTAAAAATGCTGAAAGGATCTGAAGGGAAACATAACACGAACCAGTGGTGATAAGCTGCACTGAATACTAGCCTTGCTTTCTGGAACATAATTATGCTTTAACTTGCTGAAACAGGGGCCATACCCGGTCCTACCTGTCGTACATGTTGGAAGTAAGGCAGGTTCCACGCGTACGATTGGGCTGCTTTTGTTTTTGAATCCCCAACTTGGAGCCAAGTCATATTAATCACATCACGTATCGTGCGAATCCTTGTTTCATTTTGATTCTCTTACTCGAAGCTGTGCAAAGCGAGGTGTTTTCTCTTTCTGCGCGGCATCAAAACCATGTGGCTACGAGTCAACCGTGCTCAGGTGACCGTGTAGCGGATCGATGCTAACTTTTATAAATGGCTCTTGAGTTCGTGGGCAATTTGTCGATTTCTTTCTGAGTCAAAGGTCAGAGGCAAAAAACTACTGCAACCTTGGGTCATGTTGTCAAAATATCGTAGAATGTATTGGATTTGATATGATTTGATTAGTGTTTTTTCTGCAGCTGATTTGTAGGAGAATGCAGTCCAAATTGCCAAACTTCTCTCCAAGCACAGGCCTCAGTTTGGAGTAACAAATCAAGATTGCTCACATTTGATTCAATGGCGTTCATGGTATTCTCTTTGTGTTTTTGAAATTTCTGGACCTTTGTGAATATGTTTCTTGAGTTGACCTTCAAACTTGATACGATATCACTTCGGCATGGCATGGCAGGCTATACGTTTTCGATCTGTCAGGATGTGTTGAAAGTGTGTTGAAAGTGTGTCATCTTTCGTGACGTCTTAGGCATCCTTTGATCAAAGAGGTGTTCTTCCCAGGCCCAGGCGGCTGCAGCAGCGAAGCTCTCAGGCCCGAGCTGGGCTGCGCAACTCGATTTCAATCCGTTGAGTCGTCCGCTGTGACTCGCTTCAGGATCCACAACTCCCAAAGCTCTGGTCCTGGACTGCCGGTGAAATGCTGGGTACCGGTGATGGATCTTGATCTTATAATATCTTAATTAATATATTATATATGTATAATGTTTTATAGTATCTTATTATATTTTATATTTTATGAATTTCAAATAATTATATAATATGATCTTATCACATCGTAGTGACAATGCACTGATGCTCCCTCGTTCCTGAGTACTCCGTGTGGCCAGGATGCATCATCAGTTTCACCACAGGCTCCAACTTGAGAGCCACTACGGGAGCATGGCAGTTGATTTTAAACACCGCACAATTCAGCCATTCTCAAAGTGAAATCTTAATATTGTCTTAATAATATCTTAATTCTTGACCAATCGAGTTTTGATATATTCCTTTCTTGGGTGCTTTGCGTGCGTGAGACTCAATCGTAGGAGTTTCTGGTTCCTGGCAGGTTCTGTCGATTTTTCTCGGCGCTTGCTGGATGCCAGTCGGCTCTTCAAAACAACCGTCTCTTTTGGACACTGGGCACAACCCATTGAGATCTATTGAGATAAAGTGAATGGCCTTGTAAAGAGATGAAAAGAGTCTCATCCTGAGAGTCCGGCCATCCAAGGAAGGGTGAACAGTGCCATTCTCAGTGCAAAGTTATCAAAGTTCTTCGTTCCTGGTGACATCTGGTGGCATGTTGTGACCTTGCCAATGAGCGTCACAAATCGTGATTTCTGAGGTCTTGGCGAAATGCCTTGTACCATGAGCCACGCTTCCATCCCTGCAGAACAGCGCACACTTCCCCCGGACTGGGCACTGGGCACATGCCGGGAACAGCAGAATGCTTCCCAGCATCAGCAATTTTGATATGGTAAGATTGTGGGAATCATTTTGAGATCAAAATAGATCAAACCGTCTGGATTGGAGAGCTAAAAGAGGCTATATGTATTGCTAGCGTTCCAACTATTGCTTCGATCTCACTGACGCAATTCCGACAGATTCCAACTTTGAAAAAAATAATTTGAAACTCCACAAGACTGAGCATCTTGGAGCGTCTTGATGAGACTTCGAGGACTTGGTGCGGTTATCTGTTGGCATTGAAGAAGTGTGCCTCGGAGAAGTAGAGTTTCACTGATGCCACTGATGCCACCTGGGATTTAATTGAACATCTTTGGAAGTTATGAAATAGTTTGTAGATGTTTATAGTTATTTTATTTCTTGTTATGTTGTTTCACTTTTTGTCGCACTCAGCGCATAGGCGTGACTTGATGCAAGATCTTCAAAGAGCACTGGACTTTGCCAGCTCCCAGCGGCAGATACCTGACCACGACGGGTGCACCGCCTAAAGATATGGATCAGAAAAGACAAAGATACAGAAAGTTTTTCTATGTTTTTCTCTTGTATTGTATATTTTACTGCTTTAGTATATCAAAATCCAGGGGTTTTCTGCAATTATTTCACATAGCAAATACATGCGATGATTGGTTCTAAAATGGACTAATGTTTGGACGTGCTTTTGAGATGTTTTGAGCAAACGCCCTAAGGGAATAGTTTTCAGTCGCAGGTACGACAGCCGCTTTGAGGATTTACCGGTGGTTCCAAGGCAAGCCGTGCGCTTTCACACGTCGAGTCACACGTCGAGTCACACGGTGCACATCTGTCCACCAGATTCCGCGATCGGAAACTCATGAGATGAAGATTGAGCTGGAGAAACATGATAAAATCATATAAAATCAATTTTAATATCTTTTATATTTATATCCTTTATGAAAGATACACTTGGACTGTAGACCTGTCAATCTGAATTCTGAACAGCTTCGAATTTGATGTGCAGTGATGCCGGTGGTGTTTGTAGCTCCCGCAGGCTGCCTCCGGATATCGAGGAAACGCACACTTTTCACAGGCGGGATGCACAATGCCGCACAAGTTGAATCAACTTTGAAGATCGAAAATAGCGACATCCGACATCCGACCGCTGAAATCTTTTGAGTCGGTATCTCTCTGCCAAGGTGCAACAGCCAAGACACCGGACCTGAAGGCGCTTGAACAAAGCATAGCATAAATGAAGATAAATCAAGGAGACTCCTAAGGAGACTCCTAAGGAGACTCCTCAAATATGTTCAGCTTTTGAGTTTTGGAGGTTGGCTTTGGGCTAAATGCAGAACAGACTTGAATGGACCCATGAGCATAAATAATATTACATAAAAAGTACTGTAGCTCAGGAACAGATGCTTTGTTCATCAGCTTCACAAAATTTGTGAATGTCTTTTCTGGATCACAGTGGCTGCAGGTGTACAAACTTTTGTGCCCCTGACTGCTTCAGTGACTGTGGCGCTGGTTGGGGCTTCAGACACTATACAGAATTCTCAGTCGAGTCGAGAGCATTTGAGTGTCATTTGTTGTGGCCACAAGCAACGACAAGATGTGATCAGATGCAGATCATTCAGATCTGGCTGGTCGTTGTTGAATGTTGTTGATGCCTGGCAGATCCTTTGAGACATGTTGACCATTGTATACAAGATTTGTATATCTATGTCCAATGTTGATCTCCACAAAATGTGACAAGATTTGTACATGACATGCATCATGACATCAGGTGGCTTTTGTCGCAGGGGGAATCATGGCCATTGCTGGAACTTAGCCTCGACGACTTGAAGATCTTTGAATGCTGCGTTTCTTGTCCATCCTCAAACTGCTCCCCCCTGGAAGATAAGGCACGTTGCAGAAATTAAAGGCTGGGTCACCAGTAGTTGCAATATTATCACTGTGTGTTTTGTTTTCAATAGTTTTTTTTGCTTGCTGGGATGCAGTTGAGATGTTGTCAGGCCATTTGTTTGTCGATGGGCCACTTTTCCCAGAGCGTGCAATGATTGCTGCGCTGCTTCGTGATGGGTTCCGATGTTACCATCCGTAAAGAGGTAGACGTGATAGACATGGACAGAAGTTGACTCAAAATGATCCGAATCTGATCCGAATCATGTTCTCAACATCGGGCCGCACAGGCAACGCATAGGCAACGCATAGGCTGTGGGGCCCGAGTTCCGCAGAGTTGCGTGCGTTGCGTGCGTTGCGTACGTTGCGTACGTTGCGTTGGCCCAAAGAGTCCGGCGGAGGCTGCGCTGAACGCGTTGCCGAGAATTGCCGAGTGATTTCACTTTTTTAAGCCAGGAATAGCCAGTGATTTCAAGGAGTAGAACTGGTAGAACACTGACTTGAGTGAACGGCCTTGAAGGGCACGCCTCACACCAGTGGCAACGTACCCGTTCACTTCTCGTATGTGCAACGGGTTGGTTCCTGTGTGTTCCTATTCATTTGTTCGTGCAAGAGAGACATGCACGTTTGAGGAGTTTCTTGCAAATCAAGATGCGCAAGTTGAAATAATCAAGAATAGTGAGAGAATCCACAACTCCAAATCGCTGTGTTGAATTGAGTAACTCGACTTGTGTCTCAATGGCCTTTTGTCGCCACAATCGAGAACAGTGGGGCATTCAACGCTCGACGATTGAGTTGGCAACCGGGCAAGCTCTGGGAAGAAAATGAAGGGCAGCATCATGGCACAGAATTCATGGTGAGAAGCCGCAGTACAGCTGTGCATTGTTGCACAAATGGAATAAGATGGACTGATAAATACGTCATAATATGTGTTTAAAATTGTTTAACATTATGATGTACTCGTATGCATTTGATATTCATGGACATGCACATCGATGCAAACAAGTATACCACTCAGGTGCGCAGGGTTCATTTCTGCACTGGGCTTTGATGTGACTGTCATGGCAAGATTCTCAGTCAATTGCAGCCGCAATGACACGAGGGCACGATGAGTGGTGTTTAAGAAGTTTTCTATAGTTTTTTCTTTGTTTTTGATGGTTTCTCATGGACTGTTCTGGGGCATCCCTGACTCATGGCATGAAAACAAGATAGAACGACTAGTCACACGTCACAGAGAATACAGAGATCAAAGCAGATCGGTCAGATCAGTGCAGATCGGATCAGTGCACATCAGTCATGACATGCAACGGCAATGTTCATCGTGTCGCCTCGAGGTACGGTCCATCCTGTTGCGAGGCTTCGATCAGGACAGAGTTCAGATTGGATGACGTTTCACTGGATGTAAAATATGTAAATGATTTGTAAATGGATGTAAGTTTCTGATGTTTTGTTTTTTTCAGGATGTTCATGGGATTTCAAGGTCCCAAGAACCTTAGAGTCTTAGTCTTAGAGGTATTCAAAGATATCAGAGATCCAAAAGAAACAAATTGATTACAAATTGTATAGTTTTCGGATGTTTTCCGTATTGTAAACGAAGTGGAAAAGGACAAGCGCTTGCCATGCGCTTGCCCTCCAGATCCCTCCAGGACATTTCGAACATGATCGGCACGTACATGGAGAGACACGGTGTCGGCTTTGCACGGGCTGGGAACTTAGGAGATCCGGCCGATCAGATCCGATCAGTCCATCGGTGATCCCATGGGAACACATATGAACACATGATGAACACATGGTCTCAGCAAGAATGAAAGAATCTGAAAATGATGAAAATGTGAAAGATGTATAAAGATGTGAAAGGTGTGATGATTTGATGTGATGATTTGTCAGGTACTTGTCAGATGTCATACTGAGTCAATGTGAGTGATGAGAGTCCTTTTGGCTCCGTTTCACTTTCTCACACTGGCACACGGGCTTTGAGGAAATGGTTCCATCCAAATTTGAAAAGACCGCGGACGGCAAAGTCTGCAACTTGAGTGCTTGAAACAGAGAATGGTTTCAAGTTTGGGGATGGGCAAGGTGCGCAAGGCATGACTCTGTTGTACTCTAAAGAGTTGTCTCCTTCCTCGTTCTGCTCTTGGCTTGAAACATCAAACACAACTTTGTGAGAGTTTGTGAGTCTTCCCCGTATTCAGCGCACCTGAGGTCAAAGTGTTCGTGAAAGATGCTGAGTACGGAGTGCACTGCCAAAATTTCAGAGATTTATCGGCAACTACGGATCACGCTTCAGCTGCTTCAGCGCAGTTTCTTTGTTCTGTCATGTTCTGTCATGTTCTGTCCAGCATTGAAATTGTCAGGTTTTCGACACAGTGCTCATGGCAATTGGCCGGACTGGCTGCGCGGGCCAGTTGAATCTGGAGGTCTGCCTTCACGATTTGGAAAGGACAAATCTGATCAAAGATAGAAGCAAAGGGATGACAAAGAGAAAATCACATGAAATAGCACTTGTTCCTACAATTCGAAAAGACCCCAAATTCTATCAAGTCATAAGTAAGTCATAAGGTTCTTGAGATAATGAACGTTGGAAGTTAATGAAAGCATGTCCCATTGGACTTGATATGAAAGCTGCTTTGGGCCAGGCTGCTGGTCTATCTTACAACGCGAAGAGTGGGAAGGTCGTTTGAGCCTTAGGCGGCTTAGGCAGTTTAGGCGGCGTCAGACAGAGTTCTTACACTGCCTTCACTCCTGAGCTCGCTTCAGCCCACCTCATCCTCTAGCTGCTCTAGCTATGATCAATCTAATCTATTTGGATCTACCATTAATCTGTCAGAATCTGTCATTACTTCATAAATCTTTCAGATGTGCCTTTGCAAAGTGGCTTTGCCAGCTGCCAAAGATGTTGCACTGATGTTTTGTAACTCTATACTTGTAGTGCACGCCAATTATCCAATTCTATAATATGACCGATTGCATACCAATTGTGTACCCAGTACAGAACAGACAGCCACCTGAAAACCACGCAAAAACAAAAGAAAAAAACAAAGAAGATCTAAGACGTACGTGTCCTCTACATATGTCCTCTAAGTAACTAGTTTAACCAAGTTTAACCAGTTTGTCCATGTTTGTCCATGTTTGTCCTCTACGTAATTCTACGTATGTTTCATTTTATTTCTACATATGTCTACGTTCCGTTTGTGTCCTCACCTCCACCGCTCAGGATGTGAACGACAACGACCAGACCAGCGTTCCCCACATCTACGCCATCGGAGATGTCACTTAGCCATACTTAAAGACGAAGTCGACTTAGCTTCTCATAATTTCAAGCGGTGATTAGTGATGGTAATTGTTTGATGCGCATCTCTGATTTTGCAAACATGAATTGAATTACGAGATCATGATATCGTACAAATAGTGTTTGATAGGTTTTGTTCAGGACTAAAGGAATCTCTGACAAGTGTTGGATGACCATTTATTGACTCTGGCACTTACCTTTGAAATGCATACAAATTTTGAGCCACCATCAACCACCACGGTCCACAAACAAATTCACAAACTAGAGGAAATTTCTCCCGGCGTGGTATTCAATCAGTCGACGCTTCAGATCGACTGTCCCTTTATTATATTTCATGAAAGCTCCCGTTAAACGCAGTTACCATCCATTTCCAGGTCCATCCATTTCCCATATCCCACACATTGCCACACCGTGGCCACCTTCCTCAAGTCTCAACTCGGACGCAAGGTGATTGAGGGCAAGCCGGAGCTCACGCCTGTGGCTATCCAGGCCATACAACGAAACTCGCGGCCGATCATACTATGATTACGTCCTTTTGACATGGTGAAAAACTACGTCCTATAGTCCTACATACTACATGTTCTGTTCACTTCCTAGCACTTCCTAAGTATCGTTGCACTTGGTTCTGTGGAAGATAAATGAAGATACACTAAGTGCAACCATATATCATATTCAGTTTGATGATGTTTTGATATTCAGTTTGCATCACAGCAGCGCCAGGCCGGAAAGCTCCTTTGCCGACGGCTCTTTGGCGGAGCTACGAAGATCCTCAGCCGTAATCGGTTTGATTTGTCTTTGGGTGTAATTGTTTTTATATGTTTTTATATATTATACATATTGTTGTAGTTATAGTCAAGTTATAGTTGATATTGCTTGGTTTTGATACAAAGTGACACCGCACAAAGGTTTAGTAGCAAGGAAAATGCAAGATTCCAATGATGTGGCAAGAGGATTCCATTCCAGAAGATGCCAAGCGTTGCACAGCGTTGCACGGCCGCGTTCTGGAGGAAGATGGACTACACTGATGTTGCCACAACCGTCTTCACGCCCATTGAGTACGGATGTGTACCTCAGCATGGACAGCGGACAGCACACCCTAGCGGTCCTATATGGTCCTATAGCGTACGATCAGCCGAGATGATCTGAGATGATCTGAGGTGGGCTATTCAGAGGAGGACGCAAAGAAAGCCCTCGGACAGGACAAGATCAAGGCAAGGATTCATTCCTCGAGTTTACCGAAAGCATCCGAAAGCCATTTCAATCATTTCAACATCTTTTAACCATGTTCAACCACAAAGTACCTAACATATGCCCGCACTAACGGATCTGGATGACCAAGCTGATGTTGCATCATCTCATGTTTCATACAGATTCAGACCTCACTATGAAAAGCAAATGAATGCATTCAAATCATTCAAATCATTCAAATTATTCAGACCTTTGGAAGCACAGAATTCTTTTTAGACTCTTTTAGACTCCGAGGTGTACCACTGCACTGCACAGCCGCTCGAGTGGAACCTCAACTCGGAGCGCAAGGCCCGAGTCGTAGAGTGAAATGCTCAAGCTTCAAAGATATTCAAAGATCAAAGATGAATCATTTAAATAATATTAAATAATATTAATATATATATATATAATTATATATATATATATTAATGAATTATGATGAAATAAGCAAAGACATCAAAGACTATCAAAGACCTCAAACAAATCATCATTGATGCAATTCTATCACGTGAAACTGACGCAAGTCTGCGCCAGGAAGACATGGGCTACATGAAGCTGATCGTCGACAAAGAGGCCAAGGAGAAGGCGGGACACCGGGGATATGGAAAGACAAAGAAATTCAGCTGACAGTTGTGAACATGTTGTGAATATGTGTGAAAACATGTGAAATATTCTGAAATGTTGCATAAATATTTGCATTTGTAATCATTTGTGTTGTGTGGCGGCTATGGATCTTCGAGTTTATCTTTCTCGGCAGAATGTTGGGATTTTGAGTTGTGCTTGTATGAAATTCAAAATGCACGATTGCATGTGCCAAACATGGGCTCGAGGATCTTGTTTTGCTGGAGCCAGAAACCATGACCAAAATGGATTGGTCAGTTATGGTCAGTTGTTGACAACCTGTCAGCAGTTACTAAATGTTACATGTATATTACATGTATGTGTTTTATACATAATATTATATACATCTATATTAATTTATATATAATATATATACATGTGCTGAGATGAATCACATGTGGTTTGTACTTAGTTGCAAGCTTCATACCGACATGAAATAGACCGTTGCCAAACAGATCAGAGATTACAAAAAATAGGCCAAACGGGGATGGATTGAAAATGCAAGGAATAGACAAAAACGATGAGAGATGTGTCAGAATCTTTCAGAAAATTTAACAAGATCGCATCTTTACTTTGATGTTCTGAGTGCATTAGACTTTCATCGGAATTCATCGAATTTCATGGAATTTCATCGAATTCTTGTGATGATCATGATATATAATCTGAGAATGACATAGAATGACATAGAATGACATAGAATGACATAGAATGATTTAATAATGTCCATTCTGAGAAGACGCCATGACGGTCCTTGGACCGTCCTTGGACCGTCCTTGTTTCGGAGGTGGTGGGGATCCACGTCCTCGGGCCGAACGCTGGGGAGATCATCCAGGGCTTGGCTGTGGCCATCCGCTGCGGTGTGACCAAAGAGCACTTCGACGACTGCGTCTCTTAGTGAAACATAGTGAATTCTTAGTGAAACATAGTGAAACGAAGAAAATCAAAACATGGAAAATTCTGGAAATATATCGTTTATTGATGTTTGTTGATGTTTATTGATGTTTATTGTCATTTTATCATGATTCTTTACAATACTTGTTATTATTGTGTTTTATTACATTTGATGAAATGTCAACGATTATATGTAATATAGTATTACTTTAACAAGCATTGTCTAATATGTCTAATAGTTGTATGATCATCTGATTTGCCAGCTGCAGTATGATCCTCGCATTGGGTGCGGATATGTCGATGCATTTAATTTCGTCCTTCGCTCAAGGTTGGTATCCATCCGACGTATGCTGAGTCTCATCCTCAACGTGACTCAACTGTTGCTCGAAATTTCATACGGAGTGCGTCGGTTTGGGATTGCTCTTACATTTGCATTCGTCCTGTTGATGCAATCCACTCCAGCCTGTCGATTTTTTGCGGAGGTCATATACAACTATGACAGAAGAGAAGAAAGAGGGCTGTGCCCTTCCTACCAAGGGAGGCGTGGCTTTGAGGGGCGGGGCTCGACTGAAGTCGGTTAGTATTCGTCGTATAGCGGATAGAAGGTAACATTTTCTGCACATGTCCACCTGCAGATGGTCTTGGAGATCGTCTTATAGAGCGTTTTCTGCATTCTTGTCTTGTATGAGAAATTGTATTTGTATCGATGTTGTGGTATGATTCTATGTACTTTTGTCATAACTGCTATGTGTTTTGTGCCTTGTGATGTGTTTCTGTCGAATCTATCGGCTGAGTAGGCTGCTGATCCTAAAGACGCCTGCCTCGCGCTTTTGCGCTCGGGGCAGGCAGATGAGGCCATACCGCTGTGGCATTGCCGTGCAGTCGGTGAATTGTCATGACCAGATTGTTGTGGATGAGTAGTTGTGATGACGTGATTAATTTAACATAAATCCCCAGATGTGAGAAATCCCCAGATGTGATTAAATTCTGTGCTGATTCCTTGAGATGTCTTTGGATTTCTCTACTCTGTGAGAATGCGTGCACTTAGAAATGAAGAAACTTACATGTATAATTAATCAGTATATAATCAGTCCAGACACGTTAACCAATCAAGACCGTCACTTGGAGGTAAAAGTTGCGGCCGTGCATATTGTTGCAGCTACCGTGTCAGGAGCCATGCTTGAGAGCCTTAGTGACAAGCTGTGCAATGCGCGCAGCTTTGAGTGGGCTCTGTAAACGAGCAAGGCATTTGGGTTTAGTCGGTTTAGTTAGATGCAGTCAGATGGATTCAGCTGTTTGTATTGGATTTTTCGAATCCTTGTTTTGCTTTTTGCAGAGTATTGGATCAAACAGTATAATAAAGCTTTGAGATTGCATCCGATTGCATCCTGCCCAAACCCAACAACGCCACAGAACGCCACATTTCGCTGCGGACATACAGGGAAGCGACAATGTCACGCCTAAGTCATGCCTAGCATGTTTTTGAATGGCATTTACCATTGTAAACGCTGTATCCAAGAAGTCATGCCTAAGTCATGCCTAAATGCTTTTCTGCATGGAACGCTGTCCTCAATAAACGTGTAACCATGCATTTTAGAGATGAAAAACAAATGAAACACAATGGAACGCGATCGATGAAAATATTGATTTTCTACTCTCTTATAATGTCATTCTCGTGTGCAACCTGCATGTCAACGCTGGGATTCAGCATCATTATTTTCTATTCTCTGGGTCACTTCCCAGTACTACTTTGCACTACAATGCTTGCACAAAGCACTTCCCAGTACTACTTTGTACTACAAAGCTCGCACAAAGCACTTCCCAGTACTACTTTACGTACTACAAAGCTTGCACAAAGTCCTTCCCAGTACTACTTTGTACTACAAAGCTTGCACAAAGCACTTCCCAGTACTACTTTGCACTGCAAAGCTTGCACAAACTACTTCCCAGCACTACTTTGTACTACAAAGCTTGCACAAAGCACTTCCCAGTACTACTTTGTACTACAAAGCTTGTACAAACTACTTCCCAGTACTACTTTGTACTACAAAGCTTGCACAAAGCACTTCCCAATACTACTTTGTACTACAAAGTTTGCACAAACTACTTCCCAGCACTACTTTGTACTAGAAAGCTTGCACAAAGCACGTTCCAGTACTACTTTGTACTACAAAGCTTGCACAAAGCACGTTCCAGTACTACTTTGTACTACAAAGCTTGCACAAAGCACTTCCCAGTACTACTTTTTACGACAAAGCTTGCACAAAGTCGTTCCCAGTACTACTTTGTACTACAAAGCTTGCACAAAGCACTTCCCAGTACTACTTTACGTACTACAAAGCTTGCACCAAGCACTTCCCAGTACTACTTTGCACCACAAAGCTTGCACAAAGCACTTCCCAGTACTACTTTGCACTACAAAGCTTGCACAAAGCACTTCCCAGTACTACTTTGTACTACAAAGCTTGCACAAAGTCCTTCCCAGTACTACTTTGTACTACAAAGCTTGCACAAAGTCCTTCCCAGTACTACTTAGTACTACAAAGCCTGCACGAAGCACTTCCCAGTACTACTTTGTACTACAAAGCTTGCACAAAGCACTTCCCAGTACTACTTTGTACTACAAAGCTTGCACAAAGCACTTCCCAGCACTACTTTGTACTACAAAGCTTGCACAAAGTACTTCCCAGCACTACTTTTTACTACAAAGCTTGCACCAAGTCGTTCCCAGTACTACTTTGTACTACAAAGTTTGCACAAAGTCCTTCCCAGTACTACTTTGTACTACAAAGCTTGCACAAAGTACTTCCCAGTATTACTCTTTACTACAAAGCTTGCACAAAGTCGTTCCCAGTACTACTTTGTACTACAAAGCTTGCACAAACTACTTCCCAGTACTACTTTGTACTACAAAGCTTCAACAAAACACTTCCCAGTACTACTTTGCACCACAAAGCCTGCACAAAGCACTTCCCAGTACTACTTTGTACTGCAAAGCTTCAACAAAACACTTCCCAGTACTACTTTGCACCACAAAGCCTGCACAAAGCACTTCCCAGTGCTACTTTGTACTGCAAAGCTTGCACAGAGCACTTCCCAGTACTACTTTGTACTACAAAGCTTGCACAAAGCACTTCCCAGTACTACTTTGTACTACAAAGCTTGCACAAAGCACTTCCCAGTACTACTTTGTACCACAAAGCTTGCACAAAGCACTTCCTAGTACTTTGCACAAAGCACTTCCTAGTACTACTTTGAACTACAAAGCTTGCACAAAGCACTTCCCAGTACTACTTTGTACTACAAAGCTTGCACAAAGCACTTCCTAGTACTACTTTGTACTACAAAGCTTGCACAAAGCACTTCCCAGTACTACTTTGTACTACAAAGCTTGCACAAAGCACTTCCCAGTACTACTTTGTACCACAAAGCTTGCACAAAGCACTTCCCAGAGCTACTTTGTACCACAAAGCTTGCACAAAGCACTTCCCAGTACTACTTTGTACTACAAAGCTTGCACAAAGTCGTTCCCAGTACTACTTTGTACTACAAAGCTTGCACAAACTACTTCCCAGTACTACTTTGTGCTACAAACTGACATGACAACCCGCTTGGAAACCTTCGAAAAGGAGATTTTGCAGCTTCCCCGATAGACACGGCGATGCCACAGGAAAACCAGAGACTCGATACGAGATACGTGGGCGCAGCAAAACGAGCATTTCGTGCGAGACTCCTCCAATTTTGACACTTTCGACACATTATCAAACAGGTTGGAATGTGACTGTGACAAAGTGCCACGCCTGCCACGCAAAACGACATGACAACCTGCCTGGAAACCTTCGAAAAGGAGAGGTTTTGCAGCTTCCCCCATAGACACGGAATTAACGACGCGACGCCGACCCGACGACGACCCGACGAGCCACTCGAGGCGAACAAACCCTTCGCTACGCATTCGGGAAAAACAGGATCATCCAAAATCATCAAATCACCAGCTCAACGCCATCTTACCTATAACTAATCAACATACCCAAAACCTGGAATTCTGCATGCTAATAGTGATCAGCTACGTGATCTCATAAGAAAACAGGTTACATATCCAAATTCCAGAGTTCCTATGCGTTCTTGCTAAAGGCACGACTTTTGCGAAACACACTTCCCCAAGGCACAACAATTTTTTCTTAAAACAGGTACGACTTTGTCAGATGCCTGTAGGTCCAGGGATGTGGAATGATGTGGAGCTTTCAGTAGGCATTTAGGCTCGTTATGGCTCGTTTGCGAACAGCTGTGGCGAGCCTGGCGAGCAGTTCGACTGGCGGACCATGAGAACATGGTCGCACACAAAGCATCAGTTGCTGGCGTGGACAGGCAGTGACAGCTGCGCAAGACCTCAAAGCGTGGTTGAAAAATGTTGCGAGGCACGTGAGCTGACTTTACTTGCAAGATACAAAGGATATGCTATATTCATATTCATATTCATATTCATATTCATATTCATATTCATATCATATCATATCTACAAGTCAGCTTAAGCCCATAGGTCCATAGGTGTATCTGGCTTACGCATCCGAAGCTCCGCAATCTTGGCACGTGGATCCAATCCGACCCTCGGAACAACATAGAACAACTACGAACGAAGTTTCAAAATCGGCAGAAGATGTTCTGAGCGTAGCGGCGTAGCTGTAAACTGCTTCGCAAGCATACGCAAAAAAAAATGCTATACGTCAAAGTGTGTATGTCACAGTATGTCACAGTGACAGTGTTACAGCGCCGTGAGAAGCATGAAGCATCCTTGAGTTAGTTGTCGGATGTCGTTGGGTACTTTCTTGGGCTGTTCCGGCTGTTCCGGGTCATTCTTGTCGTCCGTGACTCTTCAATCTCCACAAAGAGCGATGTCAAGACACAAGCCAGATGTTTGCCAGACAACCATCAGATAACCCACACAAGACTTCGACATACTTCGACATACTTCGACGATCACCCTGTCTTCGTGTCGCGATGTATCTAGTCTGACTGCGACGATCCGAATCACTGTGGAGGACACGACGCAGGAGAAGTTCAAAGAAGACGCGTAAACTGTAAGAATGTTAAAAAATGTTAAAAACATGTAGAATACTTACAATGTAAACACACTGCAGTGAAGCGCCTTTTTTCGACATGACCAAAGCGGCAAACAAGCATTGGGTTTCTCCCCAACTCTGCTGAACATAGACGTTCGGCGCTGCAATTTCTCCTCCACTTTGCCCTTGCCGTTTCAAGCCCTTCCCGTTTCAATTTGCGTTTCAATTTCTGTAAAAAAAATAGTAAGAAAATAATATGATTTGCACATATTTGCACTATATTCCACAATAATATTTTGTCCTCAGATTCAGCTCTTTCCTCAGAGAACATGGTGTCTCCGCATCGAAAAGTTGGCACCTCAAACATCCAACGAATCAACCTGTCGCTATCGAACGGTCGCAACAGCGTCTTGCCACTAGGGAACGATTTACTGCGGAAGCTCGACGGTCGTTAAGAAAAAAGTCGAAAAATGACCTTGGAACGTTGCAAGGTTAAGTTACACATGTTGATTCAATAGTTTTTTGCGCATCCACACACACACGTGCACACGTAGGGTAAAGCGTCAACGTCGAATTCGAGATTGCTTGCGCATAGGGTGCGATGACCGAATAGCGTACCAAAACCGAACGTGTTTCGTCCGAACTGAAAAACAACAGCAACAACAACAACAACACCAACCACAACAACCACAACAACAACCAAAACAGCCAAAGCAACCAAAACAACCAAAACAACCACAACAACCAC